AGATCTTCTACTGTGAAGTCTGTGGTAATTCTGATGTTGCCTTTGTAAATAAATTGGCATTTTTTTCCTTCTGCAACTTTCAGTATCCTTTCTTTGTTATTAGTTTTGGCATTTCAAGTATAATGTGGCAATAGAGATTCTTATTTGATCATATCTATTTGGGGCTCTAAATTCTAATTATCTCCTGTAGTTGGATGTTCATATAGTCCTAAAGATTTGGGAAATTTTCTGCTTTGATTTCACTGAATATGTTTTCCATGCCTTTAGTTTACATCTTAGTTTTTTCTTCTACCCCAAGGATTCTTAGGTTTGGTTTCTTGATATCTCAGAGTTCCTGGAAGTTGTGGTCATATTTGTTTTTCTTTTATTGCTGTCCAAATGTAGTATTTCTTCACCTCGTCTTCAATCTCTGATAGTCTTTCTTTTGCTTGATCTAGTCTATTGCTGATGATTTCTATTATGTTTTTTATATGATTTACCGAGGTTTTCATTTCTGACATTTCCAGTTGGTGTTTTTTTTTTTTCTCTTCAAAGTCTCAGTTTCCTTGTTGAATTTTATTTTTTTTATCCATGCTGCTGACTTTCTCATCCAGAACTTGAATTGACTACTTACTTCATTCAGCTATTTGTTTTGAATGTTCTTTGAGGTCATTGATCATCTTTAAAAGTCAGCTTTTGAAATCCTTTTCTGGCATTTCAGCATCTTTTAATTCTGTTATGGAGTTAAGAACTCTTTGAGGAGTCATACTGCCTTGTTTTTTCATATTTCTTGTGCTTTTAAGTTGCAATTTATATATCTGTTGGGGGTGGATATCTCTCACTATCACTCAGAGGAGAAAAAGCAGACAGTGGTAACAAAATCAAAAATAGACCTGATACTTAATGTGGTTAAAAAAAAAAACTAGAAATACCAACTACATCCCTACTAAGGTTGTAGAAGAAAGGAAGTGGATTTCTTATATAAACTAGGATTTTGATAATTATTAAAAGTATAGGTATTAAAAAAGGTGAGGAAATAAAAAAACAAGCTAGGGAGAGGGGAGAGAACTATATGGGATGATGTTATAAGAAATAGTAGAGTGAGAGAAAAGTGTAATTGCAAAGAAAGACAAAAGCAGTCATTAAAAAAGTAGTCAAGGGTTGGAGGCATGGTGCACGCGGTAGAGTGGAAATATAAAATATAGCAGAAGGTCATCATGGGATAGCAGTCAGAACCATCAAACTAGGGCAGGAAATGTGGCTCAGGTGGTAGAGCATCTGCCTAGCAAGTGTGAAGCTCTGACTTCAACCCTAGTACTGCCCCCCAAAAGTCCATATTTCTTCCTTGCTGAGGAGGAGAGTGAATATAGGGGAGGAAATTTGTACAGGGTGGGCCCTGTCAAGACAGGGCATGTTTTCCTCCAATCACTGGCTCAGCATTCCGTCTGTGGGTCTCCCTGCCCCAGGTGTTTGGTCTGGTTCTCTCTGGGCATGGACTTGCCTGTGATTTCCACTGGGTGTAGTCTGGGCACAGTGGTTGGCTATGGCTCTGGGTATGGGGCAGTGGCTCCAGGTGCAAAACAGCAGCTCCTGAAGCTGGGTGGCTCTGGCTTGCAGCAGTGGTGTGCCCTAGCAGGTACACCTAGAAGAGGTGCAGGGTGGATCAGGGTCTACCCTGTGAAGCTTGCACTCCTCTCTCCTCATGGACACAGGGTGAGACTCATGATGCAGAGTAGCCATGACCTCTGCACCTAAGTACTCTAGGTGGGCTTTTCAAGTGCAGAGTGGTGCCTGGTGGTATGCAACTTGCAATCTCCTCCCAATAGTTATGTGTCTCTGAATCTGAATCCCAGTCCTCACCAATTTACTGGGTCCACACTGATTCTTGGGGTGGTTGCGTGCTTGGCTAGTGGAGTTGGGGAGGTCTTTGGGGGTTAGAAATTAAAAAAGAAAAAGCAGGGTCTTCTTCTCTCCCTAGCCAGGAGGCCTGTCTTTAAGAGCTCTTTTAAGTAGATTCCCTGCCACAATACCAGTGAGTGAATCAGGAGGTGCAGGGAGACTTCTTGGGTGTCTGCTTGCTGTGCAGGATGCAGGTCTCCCATCTTAAACCTTTTTTTTTGTGGAGTGTCATTTTGTATGTTTGTGGGGTCTCCCAATGGGCCTTTCCTTTTGTCTTTTGCTTGCAGCCCTGTTGTGGGGGTGTACTCCCCCTCTCCTGTCATTTTGCTTAGTATTCTAATTAGGGTCCTTTGTTTCTTTTATAGGTCTAAAGTTGGATATTACTGGATTTCCCCTGGTCTCTTAACTGTCTACTCTTTCCTGGTGCTCTCCCCTGCCTTCCTATGACACCCACCTCTCCTTATAGCCACATACCTGAGGTTCTAGTTCAGATTCATGGAGATACAGGAAAGTGGTGGGTGTCTGTAATTTGCCATCATGTCTGACGTACTTTCATTCTATTGTGAATGTTTTTCACAATACTGATCAAATGATTCCCTCTTAGAAGCCTTTTGTGTTTAAAGCCTTATACTCCTGTTATAGTTGACTTATTACTTGGGCAAAAGTTGCATTTTCTTTTCTAGGTAATTGAAGATCTGATTATTTGTAGAATAAGATGCATAGGTCTTATAGGTTCTTAGAATATTACAGTGATCTCTCATTAGAAAGATGTCTTATCCACCCATCAAAGGCAAACTGACCCCGGGTGTTGGTTGGTAAGTGAACTTGCTTAACTGTGCCACTTTGTGTGTGAGGTAAATGAACTTGCTAAGCCTAATCTGTCTCCAAAGGCATTCAGTCTTTCTTTCATATAGATCTGTTTTAAATGAGGTTCAATAAGTTAAATAAACCAGATTCAGATGTTTTCTGTTTTTGTAGTTTAACATTTCAAATATTAAAAGTCAAATATTTAATGAATATGAAGACATATTACCAGTTCAGAATAATTAGAGAGTGAGGGAAGGCAGTTATTTTCATAAATTGTATGAGGTGAATTATAATTAGATGCACCATTTGTATACCTGTGTAAAAAGGTATGTTAAAAAAAAAGTTCTTAAAATTCATGCCTGAGGTAATTTCTGCAAGTTAATAAGATCAATAAGTTCATTTTTTCTTACATACTGAAAAGATCTTGAATTCCATATTCTCAGACATGAAAGTGGTAAAGTTTTACAATGCTATAATTTAGTACACTCTTCCCATGAACTTAAAATTGTGTAATTAAAATGTAATATTTGAAAATCCTTACCTGATACATGATTAGAAGAACTTTCTGTGCTCCTGTCTACTTTTTCCAAAGTTAAGAACAGACATACTAGTTTATATTTTTAATTGCTAAATAAGACGAAAATGTGACTTGTTTCCCTGTTGAAAATAATTTAGTGCTGAGAACTATTTATCAGTCATTGGGTTGTAATACTAAGAGCAATGCTTGAGTAATCATCTTGGAATGTTTTGTATGGTTTTACATTTTAGTTTATTATATAATACACAGAACACTTGGGTGTACATTTAGTTCACTGGGAGTCTGTGATTAATGAACATGGATCTTAACTGGACATGGTGGCTCATGCCTATAATCCTAGCTACTCAGGAGGTAGAGATTGGGAGGATTGTGGTTCAATGCCAGCCCGGGAACACATTCATGATACCCCACTCAACCAAGAAAAAGAAGTGTTTGATAGTGCTTGCCTGTCAACCAAGCTATGCAGAAACCTAAATAGGAGCTTGGTATAGGTTAAAAGTGAGACCCTATTCAAAAAATAAACAAAAGCAAAAGGGGTTAGGGGTATGACTAAAGTGGTTGAGCACCTCCTTGCAAGTACATTGCCCTGAGTTCAAACCCCAGTACTGCAAAAGCAAAACGAAACAAACACCCTCCCCCCATGAATCCTGAGACTGTACTAACATTTTAAATGTACTTTGAATTGTCTAAAAAACAAAACTCTGGCAGCAGCTGGCTGATATATAATAGCTGTGGTTTGTGTCTTAGTGGTTACATGTCTGGGTGAGTTTCTAGAGTTCAGGGCATCTTTCAGCCAAGGACGGAGGACCCTCGCAATGAGGAAACTGTTATTTACAGGGGTCTTCTCTGAGAGCAGAAAAGGGATTTCCATAATTGGATGAAACCATCCCTGCCCTAAAATTCCCACCCTTGTGGCTGGAAAGGTGAAGTCAAGACCCTAATCGTTTAGCTATTGTTGAGTTCTTGGTGTGTGTAACTTAACTATCCATCTAAGTCATGAAAGTAGAGCCAATTGTTTTAAGAGCTTTTATTGTGATTCGCCTTTCTAAAATCTGTTTTTATGTACAATCTGGGTGCCTCCTAATTGATTTAATATATCTTCCAACCTTTGAAGGTACAAACATTAGAGCTTTGCAGGGGGTAAAAGGATGCATTAATATAGGCGGAAATCAAATTTTAAATCTTTCTAGTTTATCACTTGTGTATGTTTCTTTCTAAATGTCAGTAGTTGGTGACTTTCATTGTCTGAATGAAAAATCCATTCTTTGGGGACCTTAAAAATGGAGTCAGTCTCTCTCTCTCTTTTAATTAGGAGAACACTAAAGTGAATAGGTTTTTTCTTTTTAATGTGTCACCACCTTAGGTTGACTATAAATCTTTATGTGTTTTCTGTTAAAGTTCTCTCTTCATTAAACTAATCCACATCTTAATTCTTTTCTCTGACTTCTTGAGTGTAAACACATTATATGGATGAAAGAGGCTTTGGGCTTTTTATAACAGTGCCTTGAGTATACGTGGACTATGTGATAACCATTAGAGACTCCCCTGAAGTTACACTTGAGTTAGGGGAGCCATTGCTTTTTCGTGTTGCGAGTAAATAACAGTATTTTTCTGACACCAGCCCGTGGCCACTTGCTAGTTTGAGATATCTTGTCTCAAATCATCTTTTCTGGGAAAGGGTGAGAGAGTTGAGGTGAGGGGTTTGGAAAGAAGTAATTCAATCAAACTTAATAAACAAAGGCCTCTTCTTGTTTTTATTTTTGTTGTGTGTGTCCAGGATTTAGAAGAATTCTGCTTTAAGTTTTGCATCAATCATTTGACAGAAGTCACACAGACTGCAGCGTTCTGGCACATGGATGGCCCCCTGCTAAAGGAGTTCATTGCTAAAGCCAGTAAATGTGGAGCCTTTAAGAACTGAAGCCTGCGCTGCTGGGCCGTGTGTGAGTGCGCTGGGGTGCTGTGGGTGATGTGTCCAGCTTGTGCTCTACGAGTGATGTAATTCTGCAGGTAAAACCTATCAGGTTATTTTTTCACACCTGAGACACAGTTCTCAGTAGGAATATATGAAGAATGTATGGCTTTTCCTGAGCCCATTTTAAACAACGTGTGAGACCTTTCTTGTAAGTTGGCTGGAACATTGTGAAAGGATGAACATTTAGCTGCTTTTGTTTTTGTTGTCCTTTCTGATTAGAGGAACTTTTGAACTTGGAAAAAGAAAGTTGGTAGCAAATCTCCTGGGTCATACATCACAATCCTTTGATGCCAGGAATTGTGCTAGTTTTTGAATTGTGAGAGGAACATTGAGGCCCTGCCATGAGTTAAAGAAGCTGACCTCTGGACTCAGCAAAGTGCTGTGTTAGGGTTAGTCAGCACCGTCTGTGATGGGGGTCCTGAACCTCTGAGATTCTCATTGGTGTGCTTTTGCTATCAATGACGTTTTAAACTGCAAGGTGTATTGAAGGAGTATTCCACTTAACATGAGGTGAGCCTAATGAAATAATTAAAGATAAATCTCTAGGTCAGCTGGGATTTCGGCACATAAGATTTAGGCACATAAGGAGTAGTAATTTAGATCTCTGAAAAGTTGGTAATTCTCCAGTTATCAGCTTTGTGTGGATAAAGGTGATTTTTTTAATAAGTTAGAATCCACTACTTTTCCAACTTTGTTTTCTTTCATTCAGGTTGAGTTTGAAAACTGAATTATTATTATTTTTTTAGCAGTACTGGGATTTGAACTCAGGGTCTCACACTTGCTAGGTATGTGCTCTACTGCTTGAACTACTCCACAAGCCCTGAAAACTGAAATTTGAATTTTCCTCTTCACTTTCCCCCTACAAATGCTAACTGGAGAAAACCAGCATATTTAAATGCTCTTACCTTCCTATTGTGGCTGCTAAATTGTTAGGTCTGCTACATTATGACAAGTGGTTCTTAAAACCAACTTGCTCATAGGAGTTAAGGAAATTTGTATTGTCTGTTTTATCTAGGCCAAATTCCATCAAAAATTTGCTCATTTGAGATTTCACTACCTTCCACTTTGGGTTTTTCCTCTTTTATTGTGTTATACTGTTTAGTAGTTTAACCTTGAAAAAGGGTCCCAGAAATCATGGCTTTCCTGAAAAGATCCTATTTTAAAAGACAGTCGCTTTTTTGATGTGGTTATGAAAGGTGATGTTACTTTGGACTGTAATAGTGTTTACCTTTGGGTTTTATCATGTGTCCATTGAGCTTGCTTTAAGAGCAAAGCTCTGTCCTGCTCCCTGGTCTATGAAGTCATTCCCATTTGTGGGTGGTTCTCCCTTAGTATATTTTGTTTCCCTTTTAGGAGGCCCCTTCTGAACTTAAAGCCTGAATTTGTTTTCAGAGCCACATTAACAAGTCTTGGAGAATATGTGCTCTGGCTACTGTTTCAGAAATGTTTTTAAATATGTATGGGGCAGAGTAGTAAATGAGTCCTCAAAGATAGAAATTGAGAGCCGAAATAAAAACCTAGAAGTTCTAGCACCCTTTTCTTGATCATACCATAAATGATTGAAGTCCAGTGAATTACTAAGTTAGCATTAGTTCTGCATCATGGTAGTTTTTCTTACTCGGATGATGAATGCACATTAATTTGGTTATAATGGGTAGTGTTTGTAACAGTCACTGTTTGGTAGACTTATGGTCTTGAACAAAGCGAGAACTTCAGAATGTTTACTGTTCCTTACTTGAAAAAAAACTTCTTAAAAAAAAAGCACAAATTAAAGCAGATCCACATCTGTAGACAGTTCATTTGTTCACAGATTATTTACCAAGTTCCTAATATAGGTGAAGAACCACTTCTCAGATTACTAATTTATATGAGTATAAATGTATGTATGGTAGTGAAGAGAACAAGTTCTTCAAAAATACTCAAGTATTTTTTAATACAATCTTATTTTTCTGTATGGTTTTGTTAATCATAGCAGGAATTGAAAACTTTTCTTTGAATTGATTTTTTTCATCTGATGTAATAATGTAAGCCAAAATACTCACATTTCTTAAAATAGCCCTAATTGTACTCTTGAACTGCTTATTGGACCAGTGTTTGATACTCTAGAATATAGGGTGTATTTATGTAATGTTCAGAATGACATTAATAAAATAATATGCTAAGGGCATGTAGACTTGTTTTTTCCCCCCTTAGAAGCCAGTAGTATGCAGCATTAAAAAGGAAAGAAATCTTGGTACATGGTACAAAATGGATTAACTTTGTGGACATTAAGTGAAATATTTAAGTGACAAAAAAGACAAATACTGTGTGGCTTACTGACATGAGGTATCTACCTGGAGAAGTCAAGTTCATAGAGACAGGAAGTAGAAGAGTGGTTTCCTGGAGTTGGGGGAGAATGGGGAGTTGTTTAATGGGTACAGAGTTTCAGTTTTAAAAAGATGACTTTTTTATGGATGGATGGTGGTTTGTGGATGTATTTAATGTCACTGAACTGTACATTTTAAATGGTTAAGGTGGGAAATTCTATGTTAGATATATTTTACTACAATTTAGAAGAATAAGCAGTAAGATTCTTAGGTCATACCAAGCTAAAAAAAGGTATCACTGTGAACATAACTGCTTGATTCTCAACTATGTATACATTGTATATTGTGTGTGTATATCTATATATGTGTATCTATATACATACATATACACACATACACACATGCTATAGTTAAAAAATACCAAGTTGAACTGTTACAGCAGAAAAATGTGTCTGAATCCTTTGTGGGTACTTTAAAAGACAGACAGACATGGCCCCTGCTCTCCTGGAACATAAAAGATTATTAAGACAGAGGAGAGATAGGGTTAGGAATTGATAATAAGATATTTATAGATAGTTTTTCATAATGAAAGCAAGTATGTTTGACAGGACAAGCACTTGTCGTGAAGGCAGTTTGTTTAGGACAGGGAAAAACAAGTCTTATTTTAGCTCATCTCCAAGAGTGAGTAAGTGGCATGAGCAAAAGATAAAAGTGGGGCTAGTGAGCTTTCCAGAACTTAGCATAAGCAAGTTTGATTAGAATAGAGAAAATAAATAAGCCAAGGCTCCTTGAATGAAATGCTGGCAAAGGAGCGTGTGTGTGCACACATCACACTTGGGATCCACAGCTTCATTCCCAGTGCCAGAGGATGTGCCTGTACTTCACATACACTTTCTTACTTAGTGTTCACATTTTGTCCCATAAGGTAGGCAGTGATTAGTTTTTCAGAAATACATACCTAGATCTGTTTTAGCAGTTTGCCCAATATTTGGTTACTTTAAGAGCCCCAAGGATAGGATGCTCCATTGTGTCAAATTACCTAATGTGAATCAGACTAAATTTGAAAGTTTGGACTGGAGTTGTGGCTCGAGTGGTAGAACACCAGCTTCATAAGTATAAAACTCCAAGTTTAAACCACCAAAAAGTGGGAGAAAAAGCTTTTTAAATAAAGATCAGGACATGAGAATTACTAGTAGATAGGCCTTGTTCTAAGATGTAATAGTAGGATGACAATGGTATAGTCATCGTCTGGTGCGGGTGAATCTATATCCAGTGGGTCCCAGATGGAGCCTTGGCTTTTGTAAGTTTGAAAGTGCCCCTGCTGATTCCCATGTGCAGCCAGATGTGGAAGCCATTGATTAGATTTTGTCCTTCAGATAACGACTTAGGCCAGGGTTGCCATTACACCAGAAGTGAAATGTTTTATCTATGTCATAGTCTTCCTTCAACAGATACTATAAACCAAACAGCATGCTGGGGACTCAGGTCAAACCCATTTTGATATGTAGCATTATTGTGAATCAGAGGACTGTGTTAAAAAAAAAAAAAACACACCAGGGAGCTGTGAATGTGAAGTCATCAGGGGTTGGTGTATAGACATAAAAATCTTACTGTGTATTGTTGGGTTGAGAACTACCTTAATTTTTCCCCATTCTTACATACTCCCAGTGAGGTTCTTACTCAGAGAGCCCTGTTGCAAGCTTTGGTGTTTGAAGATGATGAAGTCCATCTAATGACTAGCTGAAAAATTTCTAAAAAACAGACTTTGTATGTATAGACAGGAAGTTACTATATCTGAGAGCCATGTAGGCTGAAACTAGTCTCAAAAATGATGAACTTTAAATGCATTTATTTCACAAACATTTATTGAGCATACTAGGTGCTTGGAATGTGACAGTGAGCCAAATAGTGTTATGAAGAAAAGAGTAAAAAACCAAGAATAGTGATAATAGTAAGCAAAACCCAGGAATAATGAGTTTCGGCCATACTCTGATGGTGTGATGTGAGATACAGACAATTAAACACTGAAAAGTGACATGAGAGAAAAGTCCTTTTTTTCCCCCAGAAACTGAACTCAGGGTTTTGTCCTTGATAGGCGGGTGCCATCAAGGGTCATACCTCCAGCCCCATTTGCTTTAGGTATTTTCCAAATAGGGGCTCATGTTTATGCCCAGGCAGACCTGAACGGTGATTCTCCTATTTATGCTTCCTGCATAGCTGGGGTGACAGGCACCAACCACGATGTCTAGATTTTTATTAGTTGGAATGGAGTGTCTTGAACTTTTTGCCTGGGCTGGTGTCAAACCATGATCTTCCTGATGTCCACCTCCCAAGTAAGAAAAGTAATCTCAAATGGAGTACGTGGGAGACCCTATGAAGCCAGAAGCAGGAGGAAGCAGACAAAGAGTACTTAAGACTTCACAATATGATGTGCAGACACCCTGGGGTGGGAGCACCGGGTGTGTTACTAAAAGCAACTTACTTGGGAGGGGGACACACCAGGAGGAAGCCACCTGTGGGTTTTAAGAGAAACATTTTATTGGAGAGGAAGAGGTAGGAGAAGTGAGCTAGCAGAGGGTGGTATAAAACACCCAGTTGGGCATGAAATTTCAATCAGCAAGAACAAGTAAGAGCTGGCAAGGGTCACAGTCCAAGGCTCAGAGAGGGATGGGGGGGGGGCAGTTTTAGAGCTTGTCAACTTTCACAGGCTAGTCTTCGTTCTGAGCTTATTTGCAATGTCACCTGATTCCCAGCTTGGGGACAAGGAGGATACTGAAGTGGAACTTGATCCAAAGTCTCTGTTTTCTTGAAAAGAACACAAAGTTTGTTTTATGTCCTTTAGTAGCCCAGTCTCTTCCTTCAGCTGCCGCTGCCTTTCTTCAGATTCATAGATTTTATTTTCTATTGCTTTAAAAAAAAATACAGTGACTTCACATTATTTCATAGTTTGGATAGAAACAACATGCTTGCACTTGCAAGTACACAGTCACAATGCTTATGGCTCAAGTGAAGAGAGACCAGAGTCCTGTGAGCAGGACATGGTTCTTTCCTGCCTTTTCTTCCTTTTCTTTTGGATGGAATTCCAGCATTTATCACACATAAAGCTAGTAAGTATAAGACTTTGTATGTTTATTGCAGAACAAGTCCCTTTTATTTGTTGAGACATAACTGGAGAGAGGATATGGTTAGAATATCAAGGATAAAGGCAAAACTTTGATAAAAATGCACCTAATTTTTAATGTTACATAAGATAGCTGTTTTATTTAGAAACAGAAAGGCTTTTATTGTAGTAACTTAGCAAGAAGATACTTTAATTAGGCTTTAAAAATAATGACTAGTAGTCAGTGGCAGTGTAGTTTTTAAAAGCCTCAAAATTGAAGAGTTTTAAAATGTTCAGAATTGGGCTGGCAGTGTGGCTCAAATACTAGAGTGCCTGCCTAGTAAGTGCAAGGCCCTGAGTTCAGACCCCAGTACAGCAAGAAAAAAAAAATGTTCAGAATAGTTGCACACGTGCAGTTAACTGACACATTAGTAAGGCTAAATGAAGCAACTGAGGAGACAAATTAAGACTTTTTAAGTGGAGGCTCTGAGTTCAAACCCCAGTACCACCACCACCAACAAAAAAACAAACTTTTCAGCCAGTTCTTATGGGGCTCCAAGGAGTGTCTCCTGGTGGCCTATACCAACAACTTGCACATCATCATGTGTGAGCTATGTGACAAATGAATAACTTTCATATGAAAGTCCCTTACAAAGTAAAGCTTTTTAGAAGATTAAAAAAAAAGTCAGGTATGATAGCGCATACCTATAAGTAACCCCAACACTTTGGAGGCCAGCTTGGGCTAAGTAGCAAGACCTTGTCTCAGAAAACTAAAAAGATGCTGGGTGGCAGTGGTTCATGCCTGTAATCCTAGCTAGTCAGGAGGCAGAGATCAGGAGGATTATGGTTCAAGGCCAGCCTGTGAGTCCCTATCTTGAAAATACCTAACACACAAAAAGGCTGGTGGAGTGGCTCAAGATCCTGAGTTCAAGCCCCAGTACAACAACAACAAAAAAAGTGCATTGTACAGCCTGACCAGCTGTGTCAGCTTTGACAGATGTCAGATCAGAATCATAAAGAAGTAAAAATTTAGTGTATCTTGAGGTATTTAGTGCTGAAAGGACTCAACAGTGGGTATTTTATAGAAGGATTGTCTCCTTCTCCAGTACTTTTTCTCCTACAAAACTTTCTTGGCTAGTCTTGTTCAGGTTTTTTTTGTATTTCTGATAAACTTTAGAATTAGTCACAATGCTCTGTCCCATAGAAATTAGATTTGAAGATTAGTGTTAGGAGAATTGAAACTTGTACATGTTTTATAAGTGAGAGGGAGATGAGCTGCAGGACAGTTATCATCGTCTCACCATGGGGTAGAGGCTGCAGGGCACCTCACTGGCTCAAAGCAAAACACTCTCCAACTGGGGAACCAATTTTTTGTTTTTTAAAACGTTTTTAGTGTTTTTTTTTTCTGATTATGAAGGTATTTGTGTATATGAAAGAAAATTGAAAAAGACAGCACAAAAGAAATCACTGCAATCCAGCCACCTCCAAGTGACTGCTGTTTCCTCTGGGTGCCTAGCTGTATTTCTCCTTTTTTTGTGTGTGTCATACTGTTTTTAATATTGGATTCTTCTCATTCAAATAATTAACATTCTAAAATCCATCTGCATAGTATACTATTTCAATCTAAATGATGTTGCTACACAATGCTGTTTTATTTTATAGCTCATATACCTGCTTGAAGGTTTACAAATATGTCTTCAAACAGTCTACAGTCAAAAAGTGAAGTCCCAATTTCTTCATAGTCTGCAAGGAGAAAAACATTTTTGGTATTAATGTAAATAAGAAACATTTCACAAAATAACACTAACACAACAGCATAAATGGCACAGTCATCTGCTGTGGAGCAGTGGCAGCAGAGGGAAGTTGTCAGAAATGTCAACTCTTTCTGGGGGCGTGGCTTAAGCAGTAGAGCACCAGGCACCAGTACCTTTCTATGAATCAGATCTTGCAGGGGCTAGAGTAGGGCATTTGTTTCATGAGGCCCCCTCACTACCTATCGAGGCACCTACAAGTTTCTGAAGTGCCTGGTCTATAGAAAATAATCAAAAGGATGTAATAAATGAGCTTTTGGACTGTTTACTCTTAATTTCACTTTTTGGCTTTTCTTGTATAGAAAACAGTCCTTTTCAAATAAGTCCAAATTTTACATTGTTGCCTATAATCTTGCCTGTCAGTCTTTCCCTTATAAATGAACTGTAAAGTTAAGCTCACACTGTAGGTTTTAAGAAGGCTAAGTAGCTATGTACTTGCACTTTTTTTTAATATGGAACTGGGGTTTGAACTCAGGATCTTTCACTTGCTAGGCAAGCCATCACACCCCAGCTCTTTTTGCTTTAGTTACTGTTCAGAGAGGGTCTTATACTTTTGGCCAGGATCAGCCTTGGACTATAATCCTCATACCTATGCCTTCTTAGTATCTGGGATTACAGATGTATTGAGATGAGGGTCTCACTAACTTTTTGAGCTATGCTGGCCTTGAACTGTGATCCTCTCAATCTCCACCTCCCAAGTAGCTGTGTTTACAGGGCAAGCTGTGGTACCTAGCTTGTACTTCCACACTGTATGTGGATCTTCATATTAAGAAATAGTTTGTATTTAAGCCAAACATTAATCAAAACATTAATATTAAGACATAGCATGGGAAAGAAAATGTGTGCCTTTTCCTTCTTTTTTTTTTTTTTTTTTGTCCGTTTTACATCTAGGTTTGTGAGAAGGCTCTATCTTAGAATTAAGGGTTTTAGTACCTGATTCTGAAGTGGTCTCACCCATGAGTCTTTCTTGAATTACATGAAGTTTGTCTAATATTTCTTCAAATAAATCATTAAGAAGTCCTGCTTCTTTACATTTTTTAAGAAAAGGAACTTTCATGATTGCATCTATGAACAAAGAAAATGTTTTTAGATGGTCTCATTTTATGACTACTTCAGACTTTACCTAGTAGTGGATGAACATAATGAGTAAAAATAATCGTAACACTTTTTTGCCTTTTCTACTAATTACAGTTTCATCATATCTCATTTTCTCTAGATGAAATTTACAAAAAGTAAAAATAAAACTTTTCTTCTTCTAACTATGAATTAGAGGATTTAAAAAAATTAGCTTCAATTCTTTGAGATGACAGACAGCCCTTGTTATTTTTTCTGTTATGGAATTTCTGTTAAAAAGCAGCAAGCCACACCTATCAGTGTGAGGGGTGGCACATCACTGGACTCTGAGCTCAGGCAAACCTAGCTGCTGCTTTCTCAAGGAAGTATCTTTTCCTCATTCTGAGAAGCAACAGGTCATTCTAACACATGTACTTTTGACAGGGTGAGGATTCTCACCCTAGAATTATAACAACTTATGTTCTTAAAATGGGTTACCAACTTTGAAATACATGGGTCAACATGTTCTTAAGTACCGGAGGCTGTGTTTGTTACTGCTATCACCAAGAGCAAACCTGTGTGTCTGTGAGGCGCTTCCCTCGCTTGTGTTACCAGTCTGTTGGATGTCGTCTCAGGCAGCTAAAAGGAGAAAAAAATCCAGATTACACTGATTTTATTGTTGATACTTAGTTAATACTATTTAAAATAAAAAACACTCTTCTGCTTTGTATAATTAAGTGATATGCTTACAGTGAAAATCAGCCTCATATTCACATTCAGATGGTCTATGTAGTGAAACTTCTTAGTATGTTGCCCAGGCTGGTCTTGAAACCCTGGATTCAAGTGACCTTCTCAGGTAGCTGGGAATGCAGGCACATGCTGCACACAGCTTGAGAAAAGTCTTTTGAATAAACAGCAAAAGGTGGAGGTTGCTGGCTTCTATTTAGCTTAAAATCCTCCAAAACATTTTCATACACTGTACACATAATAATCCAGAAAATTTGGTTGCCTATTGGGTCAGGTGTAGATCATGCATCTGGGAATATCCCTGGCTCCCTGAGGATGCTCGGCTGCACCCTCAGCCCATTGAGGACCCTAAGTACCCTGAAAGGTCAGGTGCTTCATAGAAGGTGGGGGATAAAGCCACCCCATGAACTTCCAGCTTCTCCTTAAGATCTCATTATCTAAGAGCTCTCTGAATATGGGAACTCTCCAGGGCGTCCTCAGGAGCAGTCTCAGCTCTGTCTAGGCAGAGGACACAAATGAAGGGTGGTACACAGCATGCTGTCTACTCCAATGGTTTGGAAAGTGCCTTTCACCTGAAAGTCAGAAATTTACAATGGTAAGAAAATTAAGTCAAATTACCTGTACATGAATGTCTGTTGCCAAAGAGTTCCTCTTCTTTTTTTTTGCTCTTGAAGAATCGGCTTAAAATATAAATAATTTAAAAGTTGGAATAAATAAAGGGAAAAATTATTGTTTACATACAATATAAAACTTACATGCCAAAAGTTATTATAAAGTCGAAAGATAGGGCAAAGTTAAACTAAGCGTTTGCAATACATAAGGACCTTGCAAGTTGATATAAAAAACAGAGTAGAAAAATAGGCAGACGGGGAAGTCTCCATGGAGCTTCTTCACTGAATAGAAACGGATATAGCTGGTGAGATGAGAATGCATACAGTGTCACTTGTCTCTATCTTACATTTTAATGTAGGATGTTTACTGAGATCTGGGTGACGGGGTACTGTTAGAATAGCCTCTCTGGAAGATAATCTAGAGTTTCACTGTTTGTGTTCTTTGACCCAGCAGCAATTTTATCAGCGCGGTTACCAAAAGACATGAAGATACATGGAGTACAGTTTCATTAAATAGAAAATCAGAAATAACCTAAATGCCTTTAAGCAGAGAACAGTCCAGCATCATGTGCTCTTTTACAAACAAGCGGATGTTAAGACACAATAAATGAAAACAGCAAGATCTAGTAGTAAGTATGGTTACGCCCAGAAAATTTTTGGAAGAATTCAAAAAGAACAAGTTTCCCCCAGGAAAGGATTTATTTTAAGACAGTGTATATATGTAAACACACACGTATTTTTTTTTTTTTTGAGGTGTCGGGGATGAAACAGAAGATCTTGTGAATGGCTCTACTGCATAGCTACATCCCGAGGCCAACAAGTTTTGTGTGTGTATGTGTGGTACTGGGGTTTGAACTCAGGGCTTCGTAGTTGCTAGGCAGGCTGTCTACCACTTGAGCCATGCCTGTAGCCCTTTTTGCTTTATTTTCAAAAAGGAGCTAATGTTTATTCCCAAGCTGGGATGAACTGCTATTTATGGTGTACCACCATGCCCAGCTTTTATTGGCTGAGATGGGGGTCTCAGAAACTTTTTACTTATGTTGGCTTTGAATCACAATACTCTTGATTTCAGTCTCCAGAGTAGCTGGGATTACAGGCATCAGCCACCTGCAGTGATAATCTTAAAACTAAATACATTAATGCCACCATTCTGTGTCAAACGCTGGTGGCAAGCAATCTCTTTTTGGTATTTCCCAATGAGTTGTAAGTGTAATGACTAAAATATAAGGGTAGAAAGACTAGAGAATGCTTTTGCATAATAAAATGCAGTTGGCATGACACAAAACTAAATCTTTCCCAAAGAGATCCTGACTTTAGTCAGTCTTCCAGATTTAGTGCCCACGTGCTGGGGGCTCATGCCTGTGATCCTAAAATCTGGAGGATTGCAGTTCGAAGCCAGCCAAGGGCAAATAGTTTGGGAGACCCTATCTCGAAAATACCTAGATACAAAAAAATGGCTGGTGGAGTGGCTCAGGTGAAAGGCAGAATGCTTGGCCATTAGATTAAGCCCCAGTGCTGAAAGAAAACAAACAAACAAAAAACTGCTATTCTGAAAGAACAGTGAGGCACTGATGATGAACTCTAGTTAGCCAGGATGCAATCCACCCTAATTACACTGAGATGCTGGCCAAGCACTCTTAGCAAATGTTTTCAGGGAGAATGCAGCACTTCATGAATTTTACGTACTCAGAATTCTAATATTATTATAGAAGGATGAAAAACAGTCACAAAAGTTTAAGTTATGTAGAAAAAAACCTAGTCAATTTATATCATTTAGTGCATAAGATACTGTCAGTTTTATAGGTATGTGCAATTTTAAAACATTTGTACCTTATTTAAATGAGGCTAGAAAAATCAGACTATTCCATGTATTCCATGTATTACCTAAACATTTAGCTTTTTCTTTAAACCCATGATAGGAAATTTTAGAAACTTACCACTTTGGGTGGGAGGTAATTTTGGAACATGTTGTTCACAAAACAACCTGAAAACATGCAATTTCAAAGAATCGTTAAAAAATTTTTTTTTTTGAGATGGTCTTGCTTATGTAACCCAGGTAGACCTGGAAGTCCAAAGGTAGCCCAGGCTGGCCTTGAACTCATGACAGTCCTGCCTCATGTGCTTGGATTACAAGGATGTACCACTACATCTGGCTTAAATATTTTGATTTGCGATTTTCAAATATGCCTTGTGATTTAAAAAGGTACAAACATATTTTCCAGGGTGGCTACACTTTACCTATTTTTCTTTTTGAGACAGGGTCTCACTGTGTAGTTCAGGCTGGCCTCCAAATTATGATCCTCCTACCTCAGCCTCCCTAAGTGCTGGAATTACAGGCATGTGCCATCACACCCAGACCAAACATTTAGTTGTAAAGAGAAATGCTGTTTAATCCTGTGTTCAATTACTGATATATGAAATGTGGATGAGGCATCTCTGAAGGAGTGCATACTGAGGAAATATTTTGAACAGTACTAGTTCACATACAAAAGTAAGTGCATTAATTTGGGGAAAAGGTAGTGTTCCTTTTCCCCAACAGTTATCTCTACCTGAGCTCGTATTTAACCTAGAATTGATCACTGTCCTTGAAGAGAGAAAAGCCTCTCAGTAGGCTGAACTAAGGGTTTAGGTAACTGCTCAGCCCCATTTTCTTTCCAGGCTTTCTTCTGTGTCACCCCCTGCCTTTCCTTATGGGCTGACAGCCATGATGCAGTGTCCTCCTCACCTGTGGGAACCTATGGTTTCCTTATACCAATAACGCCCACCTCCTCCATTCAGCCTTCCCAATCAAAACTACTCTCCTCCCACCTTAGGTTTAGGTCTGGTACCTCTGAACACTTTGATTTGCCAAGTACTTCAGTTTTTTCAAGCACACAAAAGTGCAGAAAATACTGGGATGAACCCCTGTGCTGTCCTGTCCAGTCCCTGCCTCCCCCTGCCAGTCAACAGTTCTCAATTCAAGGGTAAGCTCCTTTCCAGAAACACCCCTCCATGTTCTATTCAGTGGCCTCTCTAGTACTCCAGTCTAACCTCTCAGAACCTAACGGGGTCTCATGCACAGTAGGCTTACCAATCCCAATATGTAAACTCAGCTTAAAACACATTTATTGTTCCTTGATAAAGTGAAAAAGATTTCATTGATTTCACTAGTTTCATTAGATAGGTAAGTATATTTTTTTCAGTCTTTAAGATATGGCAGGGACTTCATTTTGATCTTTACGTTTAAAGTCATAGTAAAATGAGATCTTTGGAGGGGGGGTAAGTAATAAAAATGAAGTTCCAAGAATGTAACAACCCATGTGGCTCTTAGCAAATCAAATATAAAAAGAAGCGCAGTACAAATTAACGTACTTACACAATTCCTTTCTAATGTCTCCAGCAACAAAACACATATAGAACTTGCTCAAAATGAGATTTAAAATTACTTTGCAAACTTCTTTTAATGGCAGGCTTGCCCACAATACATACGGCTCTGAATATGACCTAGGAGTGGTAAAGAGCAAGGGTCTTGGCACCCAACTCTGCCACTCATCAACCATATGACCTGAGGAAAAATCACTAAGTGACTCAGCCTTGAAGTGGTTAATAAATTAGTAAGTCAAGCATTGGTGGTTCATGCCTATAATCCTAGCTATCTGGGCAGCTGAGATTGGGAGGAACACGGTTTGAGGTCAGCTTAGGCAAACAGTTCATGAGACCCTATCTCCAAAATAACCAGAGCAAAATGGACTGGAGGTGTGGCTCAAGTGGTAGTGTGCCTGCTTTGGAAGTGTGAAGCCCCAGGTTAAAAATCGTAGCACCACCCCTACTCCCAAAAAATGTTAATGAGGTAGTGCCTGGAACATTTGGATAAAGAGAGACATGTTCATATTGGGAAAAATCAGTCTCTGGAATTAAAGTCATTTTCAGAGTAACAAATCGCACAAAAATCATATTTAAAAAATAATGCTTTCCTAACAGCAACTGAATTATTCAGAAGTAGCTATTTATCAGTACTATAGTGGTAATTATGCTTACTCCACACACAAGATGGGAGGGACAAGTGGATGAGCCTGTGACATGTAAGCGGAGGCTTCTTCCTGTTGCAGGAAAGAGTAGCTTTGATCTGACCCCTGCCTCTTGCCATCCACACCACTATGACAAGTGATGCTTTCTACCAGTAAGGACAGAATGCAGGGAAATTTTAAAAAGCAGAACAAAACCTTGCATTATTTTCTTCTTGTGTTATTCAGAGGTGTTGTGAAATTGGGTTCCTAAATGGGTATCCCCCAACCACATTCTCACTTGAAAACCACTTCCATAAATTTAGCTTTAAAGGTCTCCTTAATCTAACCATTCCTTATCCCGATCTCCCACATGTGGCTTAAAAATTGTTTAAATACTTGTAAGTTCCTTGAGCTCCATTAGCTTGTAGAAATGCGTTGTCCTTCATGGCACAGTAAAAGTGGTAATTCTTGGCACAGGATTTTAAATCACATCCCACGGTGGCTCCTCTTCTACTACAAAGTGTGCATTTCTACAGAAGAACAGATTTTAATAGGTAAGCACCTATTTTTCATAATCTTTGTTAAAATGGAAGGATGTCATTAAATGTTTAAGCCAGCACCCCTACATTTTTTTCCTGGACAGCATCAGCAAAATTCTGCCGTTTTTATTACATTTGGTCCCTCATTTGGAAATTTTAGCAAAACCACAGCTAAGTAGAATGCTTGGCGTGGACTGTTTTGTAATGATCTGATTAAAAATAATCTCTCCTTAAAAGAGATTTTTAAAAAGCAGAACTGGCTAACTTCTCCAGCTCTAGGTGAGGGGTTCTGCTGGAGGGACATTAAGCTAAGGCAAGAGCAGCAGCTGGCTATACCATTAAGAACTTGTGACCTCAGCCAGCTACTTGTCCATCTTAGAGTCAGGTTCTTCCCTGGAGTAATGATAACTGTTCTATAGGGTTGCTGTTGAAGATAATGTGAGATAAAGGAAACCAACCTATTTGGAATTTATGTAGTAGAGCCAGGAAAACCACAACAAAAAACCCAAAGAGAATAAAAAAACCTCACACTGAGTAAGAGCAGTTTTTTCTTAGTTCAACTTAGAGGATCCCTTGCTTTTATTTCTGTCTGATATTTTATATATGAGGGTGGTGCAGAGATGGTTAGGCAGACAGTGTGACTACAGCAACCTGGCTGGGTTATGGAATCCAGTCATGACCAAGGCTCATCAGCCTTACACTGGCTGAACGAGGTAGAGGCACAATGAGACAACCTTGCAAACAGAGGAGCACTCATACAATAGCCCATGGTCACCACAAGTACACATACAAAGAAAATTCAAATGTAGGTGAGAAATAAAGGTAGAATTCCAAGTCAGAACATATAATTATTTTGGACTGACAGCTAACTGTGTATAGGAAAAAAATAAGGTTAGATTGCTACCTCACACGCCCAGATAGTTCTGTATGTATTAATGATCTAATTATATAAAGCAAAGCAAATAAAAAAGAATCTTTTAAAAAATGAGGAAATAATATGGAAGGCTATTTAAGGAAGACAGGAAACCCAGAAGCCACAAAGAAAGATGTATATATCTAACTATATAAAAAATTTAAACTTTCATTTTTATGGTGACAGATACCATCTGAAAGTACAAGGAAAAGATGAAAAAAAAAAAAACATACTGAAGGATTCAGATTTGGACAACCCAGCTGGGCAATGCGCATGGTGGTGGATGCCTTCATCCCAGCTACTTGGGAGGCTGAGGCTGGAGGAGCACACATTTTAGGACAGGTTGGGCAACTTATTGAGACCTGTCTCAAAAAAGAAAAGTACTTGTCTAGCATGTACATGGTCTGGGTTTGAGTCTCAATACTGGAAAAAAAAATGTATTTATTTGGATAACACATAGAAAAACAGTAACAGGTAAATGAGAATACAAATGACAAGTATTCATTCACAAAGCCTATATTGTTTACTTAGTACACAGTAGCTATGAGGAGGCAGACGCTGAGGATAAGGGAAAACAGGAGTGGAGAGAGAAAATGCCTGCCTGCCTGGATGAAGTGTACACTCTGGTGGGGACAGTGTACAATGGTCAAGTAAAGCAAGTCTCTATGGGCTGAGGGGTGTGGCTTACGTGGTAAAGCACTTGCCTAACAAGCACAAGGCCTTCAGTTCAAACCTTAGTACCACACACACAAGAAAGTAGCCAGAAAGGTAGAAGATGCCCAGAGTGTTTTCAGAAGGCAAAAGAAAGTACCTCAAGATGCAGGATATGGACAGTGGAGTGAAGAATACAGCTGAGAGGTTCAAAAAGGGCAGTCTTCAACTTGGGGTTGGGATGAGGAGAGGGTTCAGAGGGAAGAGAGGATGTGAAACAGTATATGTGGAGGGTAGAGCAAACACAGGAAGGAGGTGAGGAGGTCCTGCTGAGATTTGGGACTGTGAATTGTCAGCTCAGAACTTGGGCGGGTCAATGTGCTTGAGTGACAGTGCCAATCACAGACAGGATTACAGGTTGGGTGTGGCCCTGTGAGCGAGCAAGTGAGATGTGCTGGTATCTGGAAGAGGGCCTGTGGTGGTGGGCATGGTGATGAGGTGGCCACAGACTGCAGTGGGATTGGTAAGGAACTGCTGGAGCTGTGAGCTGGGAGGACTGCACAGAAATAATGTGCAGTTCCTCACCATCGGGGAGATGCAAGGTAAAAGTTTTCTGTGACATCTGTAAAAATTAAGAGTAATGACACTCATTTTTGTCAAGGGTTGGGAAGAGTGCTCTGTCATGCATTATGCTTATAAGCATAAATTGGTAGCTTTCCCAGGGGACAGCTGGCTAGCGCAGTTAACATTTTTAAGTGGAATTCTCTTGACCCAGCAATCCCACTGCTAGGAGCATGCGCTTCAGAAATACCCAAACAAGGGCTGTGGAGTGGCTCAGGTGGTAAGAGCAACTGCATAGAAATAAGCACAGAACAGTTGTATGGAGATGTTTGTTGCAGCCTTATTTGTTATAGTGAAAATTAGGAATCGACTTATTATTTAACAACAAAAGAATGGTTTCATGAATTATGGTATACCCTAAGTCCAGGAACTCAATAAAGAGAATAAATGCTATGGAGTCACATGCTTATAGTTTTACAGATGTGCCCCGTTCTAACTTGACTTCCACTTTTGCACATCTGTTCCCTCTCTGGAATTCCTTCCTTTTCACCCTGCTTCTTGCACACTAGGAAGGGTCCACAGATCCACCTGCAAGAGAAGCCTGCTTGCTTGCTAAGGGCCATGCTGAGCCCTGTCAAAGCACTCAGTCAGCTGTTCTGGAACCTTCCACTCACTGACTTGCCTCCCCCATTGGCTGTGTACTGTGCATCTGACTGCATATGCCAAGGGTTCCAGAAACCTGTGAGTGGGTAACCATTACCTCAGGTGAATTTGCACCCTTCCATCCTTTATCTTCCACTCCAGTATGTCCCAAAGTCTTCCCAATAGGGAACTCTGCATCCAAAACCCTGAAAAAACCCTCCGTGTACCCACTTCTTTCTGGATGTTAGACCTCTAGTCAACCTCCCTCATTCTGCAGCCTGAGTTCTTCATATGTTGACAAGCTCTAGAATCCCGTGATGGTTTCCTTTAACTCCATTCGATTAACCCCACTCAAATTCAATTAACAGAGCAACAGAAATCTTCCACTTGACGTCTGTCTGCTATTTTTTAATTTGAGGGGGAGTTTACATACAGTAATGTATGTAACACACATACCACAGGGTGCTGCAGATGTCGATACGTTGAAAGATGAAGTAAACATTTGTTCCTGGTCGTGAACCTTGTGGTGAGGGCATGAGGCACTCACACTTGCTGTCCTGTTTACTTATTTGTGAATGAATTTTACAAAGGAAGCCTGTGGACCCGATGTACCCAATAGGATAATCCCTCAGCAAGCCTTCCTTCCCAGAAAGCCCCTTACAATCTCAGCTCCAAGGGAGATCCTGATTAGTTATGACCACTCCTAACAACTGGTGCAGAAAGAGGTGTGAAACAGAACTAGATTTTGGAAGGATGACCTTTCTTTTCTGCTAAGGACCAGCTGATGTTGGGGGCAGGAGGGCAGAGGGAAGAACTTGGGCCCATGATGACATCATTGAGCCACTGAAGCTGGTATTTCCTCTGATTGAGAAAATAAAGCCAGTCTAAGTTGAGGTTTCTTCCACTAACAAACAGCCAAAAGCGTTCTAACTCACCTGCTTCACCAGTGAAGCTTGTGGTACTTTATATTAAAATATTCAATGTTCGGTTGACTAAGTTTCCTACTTCTTTCAGCTCTCCAAAATGCTTCTTTACTTTTGGTTTATCAATCAGACACCTGTATGAGTACTGAAATAATTTCTACTTACCAACTTTCTTCCTCTCTGGATTTCTTTCTTTACTGATTCCACATCAAAATTTCTACTATCATTAGGTAGGTCATGATCCTCACATTCCACAAGTGCTGAAGAATACAGCTGCAGATTGGGGGAAAAAAATCCAGGGTATGTACAAAATAATACTGAAAGCTGCAAGTCAGACAATGGTACCAAAAAGTACTTACCAGGAGTGGAAGACAGATTGGGGGGAGAACAGTGAGCACTTTTTGGGGTGTCTGAGCAGACCACAAGCCACCCTGCATTTTTTTGAGTGACCCCTATCCCTAGGCATGTTTTACATTCTGCAGTTGAGCCTGGTTAACTAATTGGACCTGTGCAGACCCTGATTCAAAGCTGGGCCATTCTGCTTCCCTATCCTAGGAGTATAGAATAGAATAGGATCTGAGCAAAAGCTGAAGCCACCTAGTCAGATCAAGGCAGTCTGCAAAGAAAAGCAAAAGTAAGGGTCAGGGAAAGGATATTCCTAATGGCTTTTCAAGTCTCATTTCTTAGACCTTTGCCTTTAAGAGCCATGACATGCCCTCGTAACCTTACCACAAACTCCCTGTTAGCTGTAGGCTGGCTCAAGTTTCTATGTGCCACCTGAAACCCAAAGGACCCACCCTACCTTCTCAATTGAAGACCAATATTGCACATATACTCCAATGACAAATGGTATGAATAACATGACAAAATTTTTGAGACTTTGGCATAGGCAAAGATTTCTCATAAAAAGCAAAACTATAACAAAAAAGTTAGACTTTATAAAGATTAAAATTTAGTCTTTGAGGCAGCCTATAAAATGGGAGAAACTCTTTGCCAGTTATACATCTGACAAGGGATTAAAATAAAGGGAGCTCAAAAAAATACCAAAAAACCAAGGACCCAATGAAGAAATGGGCAAATGAACTGAACAAAGTTTTTCCAAGGGAAGAAGTCCAAATGGCCAAAAGCACATGAAGCAATGGTTAACATTCCTGGCTATAAAGAAAATGCAAGTCAAAACCATTAAGATTCTGCCTCACTCCTGTTAGAATCAAGGACATAAACAGTAACAGATTTTGGTGGGGATGTGGGGAAAAAGGAACCCTCCTCATACACTGCTGGTGGGAATGTGAATTTGTACAACCCCTATGGAAAACATGGAGGCTCTTGAAAACACTAAAAGTAGAATTGCCATATAGGGATATACTTGAAGGAATGCAAGTCATGTTGCAATAAAGACACCTGCACTCCCACGTTTACTGCAGCACTACTCACAACAGCCAATATATGGAAACAGCCAAGATGCCCCATTACTGATGAATGGATTAAGAAAATGTACTTATATACAGTGGAATTTTATTCAGTCACAAGAATGAAATTTTGTCATTGGCAGGTAAACAGATGGAACTGGAGAACATCATCTCAAGTGAAGTCAGCCAGACTCAGAAGAAAGCCAAAGGCCATGTTTTTCTCTCCTGTGGAATATAGGCCTGATATAAATACAAGCAATATTATGTATACAGTATAAAATATTATCCAAAAGTGGGACTGGTAGAGGAGACCAAGGCAGGAGGAAAAGAAGGAAAGAAAGTGAATAATGACATATACCTGTATAGAAACAAGATACAAGGAAACATGCTAAGGCCCTGAGTTCAAACTGCAATACCGCCAAAAAAAAAAAAAAATTCCAAGAGTAGATCAATGTTAGAATATTTGTTTAACATGTATAAGACCCTGGGTTTGCTCCCCAGCACTGCCAAAAAAAAAAAAATTTGAACAGACACTTCATAAAAGATTTATGAATGGCAGGTAGCAGGGCATCAGTGACTCATGCCTGTAATCCTAGCTACTCAAGTGGCAGAGATCAGGAGGATCATGGTTCGAAGCTAGTCCAGGCAAATAGTTCTCAAGACCCTATCTTGAAAGTACTCATCACAAAAAAGGGCTGGTGGAGTGGCTCAAGGTGTAAGCCCTGAGTTCAAACCCCAGCACTGCGAAACATAAATGTACCTAATGCCACTTTTTTTTGCGGTACTGGGTCTTGAACTCGGGGCCTACACCTTGAACTACTCGACCAGCCCTTGTGCTGGGTATTTTTGAGTCAGGGTCTTAAATATTTGCCTGGGCTGGCCTTGAACTGCGATCCTCCTGATCTTTGCTTCCAGAATAGCTAGGATTACAGGTGTGAGGTACCAGCAACAGGTCAAGGATTAATAATTTAATGTATGTAAAGCTCACACAATAAATGCTAGTTATCGTTAAGATAATACAAATCAGTGAGGAAAATCTAGATTATTCAAAAAAACAGTGAAGGAAAAGTCAATCATATGGAAAAATACAATGAAATTAGATTTCTCCTTTACACAACAGTAAAATTCCAGTAGGATTAAGAAACGAAGTGACAAGTCAGGTGTGGAGGTACGCACCTGTAGTCCCTGCACTCAGAAACCTGTGGCAAGAGGAGCATGAGTTTGAGGCCATCCTGGCCTTGGGCTACATATAGCGAGACAGGGTCTTAAAAAAAAGAAAGCAAAAGAAACTAAATGACAAAAGTCAGGATTTTAAAACTTACAGAAAAAGAATTTCTCAAGGGAAAGAAACTTCACAAATATAAAGGAAAATAAAATCAAACGCCAACACGTATTATAAAGTATTCCAATCTGTTTTTACATAAATACATACGAACAGACCTAAACATCTCAATGATAAGGTGTAAAGCCTGTGAACACAAGATTCACAGAAGAAGCAGAAACCAGAGTGGTGCGCAAGCACAGAGCTGATACCCAACCCTATTTCATACAAATCAGAAAGGAAAAAGTTAAAATTTCCTAATAGCAAGTATTGGCAAGGAAGAAGAGAAAAACTCTCAAATTTTGTGCAATGACATTAGAGAGTAATTTGGCAAATTTTGTTCTGAGCTAAATGCAAAATGCTCCCCCTCTCTGTGCCCCAGCAATTTTGCTCTTAGCGATGTGTGGACCAGAGAGATTCTCACATGTGTAAAAAGGCCCAGGTAAGAATGATCATAACCTGTTAGTCATAGGAAGAAAACTGGGAAAACCTCAATGCACACTCCTAGGAGAACACTTGAATGGTGAATAGTCATGAAATGGACCACTAAAGTAAAAGAGCCCTATCTTCTATCAACACTGATAAATTTCAAAATTCTGAAAATTTGAAAGTGGAGTTTTAGAAATTATATCTAGGGGGAAGGTCTGTGATATGAAATATTTCATTAAAATAGCTTTAAAGAAGCTTCTTCATAATTCTTGCTGTGTGTTTGACTAGTTGTAAATAAAAAACTATAAAGTAGTAAGATCTGAGACAGTTCAAAGTTAGAAAACTATGCACCCCAATCCTCTCTTAAAGCCCAAGTATGGCCAACTCTCATTCCGTGCATCCAAAGTACTAACTGTCTATTCTGGCACATCTGACCCTAAAAGCACTCACGTTCTCAAGGTACTTACCAAGCAGTTTTCATGAGCAGCTATATTCTCTGATTGTGCAAAGTACAGGACACTATAATCAAGACCTTTGGGGCAGAGCGCACATGTCCTTTTTTCCATCTTTTCTGCAACCTGAAAGACACCTGTAAGTAATATCCTTGGTGAGAAGCAGAAAAGTAGAATCCATGGGTCTCCCTAACTCCTCCTCCAGGCTTAAAGTTGGAGGCAGGGTACTGTTTCTATGGGAGACTCTTAACTCCTAGAAGGACAAAAAAAAAAAAAAAAAAATCAGTGACCTTAGTGGAAAAGTAGTAAAAGAAAAAATTAATTCACTTAAAAATGTCTACAAACGAGGACAACCTTTAAAGAAGTTGAACCAGAACCTTAAATACAAGCAAAGCTCTCGAGATCTAGCCTTGCCTGTAGAAATCATTCAATAATTATTATTATCATTACAAATCAACAAGAAAACAATGACATACTCAAGACAGTGCACTGGTTATTATTATTTTTTTTTTTTGGAGATGGGGGTCTTGTGAACTATTTGCCTGGGCTGGCCTTGAACTACGATCCTCCTGATTTCAGCCTCCCAAGTAGCTAGGATTACAGATGTGAGCAATGGGTATCTAACTCTGATTAACTATTTGTAACAAAACAAAGTTGTATATGTGCTATACTGTATTAAAAATTAAATTCTAGTAGAATTAAAGATGTAAATGAGTAATGTATTTTAATTTAAATGTGTTTTTTCTTCCTTTAAAAAAATTCTTTGTTGGTACTTTTGTTTTTGGTGGTACTAGAGTTTGAACTCAGGGCCTCATGCTTGCTAGGCGGGCGCTCTACCACTGGAGTCACACCCCCGGATCTAAATGTGTTAAGAAAGATCCACAAAAAGTAGAAGACAGAGCTTCTTTTCTCTTCTTTTCTTTTTCTTTTTGAGGACAGGAATGGAAGAAAGGAAGAGGAAGAGCTAGGAAGAAAAGGAAAGAGGCAGAGAGAGGAAGCAAAAAACCAGCTGCAGGAAAGATTCACACCATTGTCAATTAAAAGTTAACCTTTTCCAGTCTGCTAATTTGCTATTGATTTGATCACAGCAGACATTAAGATTTATTTACTTAATTTTCTAATTTCTCTGTAGTAGAAAAACTTTTTATATTTTAGTTTTGAAATAAAGATTTATTTTACCATTCAGTGGTTAAAGTTTTTAATTTAGATGAGATTACTCCCCCCCCACCGAAGTAATTAAAAGTTCCTTTTGTTATTCAAATTTCTTCTTTCTCTAGTTTGGTCTTTCATTTTACAAAGTCAGAAGACTGCTTTTTTTTTTTTTTTTTGCAGCACTGGGATTTGAACCTAGGTCCTCACACTTGCTAGGCAGGTGCTCTACCACTTGAGTCAATCTGCCAGCCCAGAAGGCTGCATTTGAACTTCAGTTGAGTTTTTCTGTACTTAATTTGTTTTCCTAATTTGGGTCCTATCTAGTGAGGATACTACTTAGTTCCCTGTTCCCCACCAACCAAGAAAACAGGACAGGAGAAAGTGAAAACCACTCAAACGAAGTGAGCTACCATTTATTTATTTCATTTATTAATATTTTTGGGGTGGTACTGGGGTTTGAACTCAGGGTCTTGCTCTTGCTTGGTAGGCACTCCACTACTTGAGCCGCACACCAGCCCTTTTCACGTTAGTTATTTTTTGAATAGGGTCTTATGTTTATGCCTCAGCTGGCCTGGCTTGCAATCCTATTTACATTTCCCTTGTAGCTGGGATGACAGGAGTTTACCAGAGACCCAGCTTTTTTTTAATCGGTTGGGATGGGGGGGGGTGTCTCACAGTCTTTTTGCCTGGGTTGTCCTTGAGCCAGGAGCTTCCTGATCTCTGCCTCCTAAGTAAGTAGCTAGGATGACAGGTGTGAGCCACTGGTGCCCAGGGAACTACCTGTTTTTTATTCTCAACCAACACTTTGGGAACACTTCTTCTGTGCCATTCCCTGTGTAGGGTGCTCAAGACCAGTGCTGTCCAACAGAAACAAAGTGAGCCACAGGTGTCAATGAAAAACTTCTAGGAACCTCATTAAAAAGGCAAAAAACAAAAAGTGACATTTAGTAAGTCAGTCTTTATAATCATTAAACCAAACACATCCCAAACCAGCCTTTCAATATTTAATCAATGTAAGAACTATTAGTTCATTTGTACTGAGCCTTTGAAATCTGGCATGTAATTTGCACTTAAGAGTGTGTCATGTGGTGTGTATGGTGTGGTGTGGTGTGGTGTGGTAACTCATGCCTGTAATCCTAGTTACTCAGGAGGTGGAGATTGAGAGGATTGTAGTTTGAGGCCAGTTAAAAAAAAGGTTCTTGAGATCCTGTATCAGTCAGCAGTTGGGCATGGTGGCATATGCTTGTCATCTCTAGGAGGATCGAAGTCCAGCCCTGCATGGGCATAAAAGCGAGACCCTATCCCAAAAATAATGAAAGTAAAAAGGGCTGGGAGAGTGGCTCAAGTCGTAGAGTACCTGCCTAGCCCAGAGTTCAATCCCTAGCAATGCAAAAAAAAAAAAAAAAAAAAACACATCAGGTCTCAATTGCACTACCCGCATTTTAGGTGCTCAAAAAACCCAAGGCGAAGTTGGGAGTGGTAGCCTGTAATCCCGGCTACTCAGGAGATTCAAGACCACATCTCAACAAACAAGCTGAGCATGGTGGTTCACATCTGTAGGCAGGTGGATCACAGTTTGAGGTGGATCAGGAGGGCATAACTAGGATATTCTATCTGAAAAATAGGTCAAGTAAAAAGGGCTGGGGGCATGGCTCAAATGGTAGAGTGCCTTCCTAGCAAGTGCTAGGCCCTGAGTTCAAATTCCAGTGCTGCCAAAAAAAAAAAAGAAATGAGAGATAGAATAAGAACCTTTGAGAAGCTTAGAAAATAGCAATTAGGATAATAAGATAAATACCATAAAGTAATAGTGCTGGTGGTGCCATGATGGTAGAGGAGAGGGTGCTCCGCATGGAAGGACTGGTGTCAAGGGCTGGGGCCTTGAGCTGGCACAGCTTGGAGGCGGGGAAGTGGGGGAAGAAGGGGCACTGCAGGCTGAAGCAACCCTCTGTTCTAGGCTAAGAGTCTGAGTGGGAGACTACGCACCGAGCTGACAGAGAACAAGGCAAAGGGTGCTGGAGAAGGACTGGAGCAGCACAGGACAGGGCTGCCAGCAAGGACTGATCAGGGGCTGGATGACGACAAAGCTGATAGAAGAACTGAATCTCAGCAGATGGAGAGAAAGGCTGTGCTCCTGCACACGGAGGTGGATACTGAAATGATGTCAATGCTATCCCCTTCCCCAGCCCCAGTAGTTTCAGGTTTAATGTAATTTCAACCCAAATCCCAAGGTTACTTGAAAGAATTTGAAGAAAATGATTATTTGGAGGAATGGGCATAGACAGTGAAGAAACCTTTTGGGGGGAAACCCCAAGAGAGGGTATCTACCTACTACATTTAAAAACACTAACGGTACAGCTAGGGCAGATGGGTAGCTGACCAAATCAAAGGAAAGAACAAAGTGTGAGTTATGGACCTCATCTGCACTTGCAGTCAGGATATGGCTGCTTTGTGGCCATACAGGTGGTCTTTTAACTTTATTATGTGTCTACATGTCTCATGCAGTGAAGTTATAATCATTTTTAAATTTTATGGTTTCTATTTTTGGGCAAGCAGGGTGTACGTAGAAACAAACCCTAAAATTTATGCTTCTAAAATTTTAGTTTATTTTTACATTAAAATATTAAATGATGTGGAATTTATTTTAAAATATGAAATGGGGAGCTAACTTATTTTCATAATGGCCAGCCACTGACTTAAATCTCCTTTTGATTAAAAAAATTATTACACATTTGTTCCTGTACTTCGGTTCCACTGGCTTCCTCTACTAGAATCATACTTTTTTTTTTTTTAACACTTTGGAAGATATTTTAATATTTGGCAACACAAAGCTGCCTGTCCTAAGATAACATTAGGTGACACCCCCCAATATTCTAATTAACACAGACCTAAAATCTACTTTGTCAGAATACTGTCTACTCAAACCAGATACTAAAACTTGTACCCTGAGTTCAATCTCCAGCACCAAAAAGAACACTCCCAAAACCATATAAAGCAACTTACAAAGCACAGGCTGCAGCAGTATCTGGCAGGTAAATGACTACTGGACTCTCAAATCTCCCATAATAATGTATGTACTGTCGACAGGATATGCAGCCCCTGTTCTTGCGTAAGCGCTGGACATGTCCTTCTTTGTGCGCATAGCTGCAGGCCACCTGTAGGTAGATGTGCTTTGTGCACTGCCGGCAGGATTCCTGTGCTCACCCGGGGGGCTGTGCTCTATCTGAGCTGTGCTCCCAAGCACTTGGACTCCTAGGATCTCAGCATGTGGGAATAAAGAGAGAGCAAGAGTGTTGCTGTGACCTTGCCTGAACTTTGTCTGCAGTGCCCACCGACAGAAACGCAAGGCAGGTCCCACCGGCTCTCCCTAGTGTTACTTTCCTACTAAAATACCCATGTTACAGTATCCTAAAAGATCTTGGCTCTTCTAGCTCATTTATTCTTCTGGACTGCAGGAAGTATGAAACTCTGTGGTTGGGAGAGGGGTGTCACATTGGGGTCTTTTACATTGACAGGCAGGAATCCCTCATTATCTGAACTCTTGCTATATGTTATCCAAAACTTTTGAACCAAAAACGTTTTGACAACTTGGTATCCTTCACCATCTGAACTCAGGAACTGTAATGATAGATTCCCATAGGAAGGATACCCGTAAGTGTGTCATGGGGGCTTGACTACTTTAGGAAGTACCCGTTGATTGGTCTCCATTAGTAGCAGAGACCAAGAACAATGAAGATCAGCAGAGCTCCACAGGGTTCTTCTAGTGGGTTTAGAAAGCCTGTGAACTCACAGACTGACCTGACAAGATTATAGGGTTTCAGAATTCTCAAACAATGAAATTGGTTGCTGACGCCAGTAATCCTAGCTACTTGGGAGGCTGAGATTGGGATGATCATGGTTCAAGGTCAGCTTGGGCACAAAGCTTTTGAGACCTTTTCTACTGGGTGTGGTGTTGTGTACCTGTCATCCCAGCTATGGTGAGAATGTCTAAATTAGGACTGAGGTCCAGGCTGGCCCGGGGAAAATTTGAGACCCTATCTCCAAAATAAACAGAGCAAAAAGGGCTGGAGGTATGGCTCAAGTAGTAGAGTGTCTGCCAAGCAAGAGCAAAGCCCTGAGTTCAAAAGTTCAAACCCTAGTCCCACCAAAAATTGAAAAAAAAAAAAAAAAAAGGGATTGATAGCCAATACAAGAAAGACTATACAGTTAAGCTGCAAAAATATCACAAGTCTAGAACATGAGATCCATGACTAACTCAACAGAACCACTTTCAGTCTCTCTGGCAATCTCTAGGCCTACCTCTGCTTGAGGATGGATTGCTAAGGCTGTAACTTCTAAAGCTGTATCTTCTCCAGTGCTCCTGTTCTACCAGAGATGGTCTCAAAGCCCACAGGGAGAAGCCAATCCATCTAGGGGACAGAATGTGAGGTAGCCAGCATGTGTGCCACTTAAAAAAGAGTGAGGAAAAGAAAGAATGGAGTAGTTGGGTGCTGTTGGCTAACACCTGTAATCCTAGCTGCTTGGTAGGCTGAGATCAGGAGAATTGCAGTTGAGGACAGCCTGGGCAAACAGTCTGCAAGACCCTTTCTCCAAATAACCAGAGCAAAATGGACTAGAGGTGTGGCTCAAGTGGTAGAGCACTTGCTCAAGCAAGAAAACCCCAGTCCTATCCGCCGCCGCCCCCCCCCGCCAAAAAAAAAAAAAAAAAACAACCCACAGGTGTAGCTCAGTGGTAGAGTGCTGTCTCCCATGTGCCAAACCCTGGGTTCGATCCCCAGCACCACCAAAAAAAAAAAAAAAGAAACTGATGGAATGAAATTCATGAATCTCATAACTTCATTTACAATCCTCTATTAATAGGGTATGTTTTAATACTGTCAAACGTTTATAAAGTTTACAATGGCTTCTCAGTCCTATTCCAGACTCCAGCTGAAAATGCTATGGCAGCCATGTTCTTGGGGTCTGTGAGCCTGGTCTCCTGCTTAACAACAAGCATCCTTTTGCTTAAATTTGATTACGTTGTTTTTATAGATTTGCCGTTGGCAAGTCTTGCTTAACACTGGCTGGCCTGCCATCTGTGTGCACACTCACACGTGTGTGTGAACATTTGTGAGCAGCCTGATGTAAGCTGCCCTGCCCTCAGCATTTTTCTATTCTGATAAGCACACATCCACACCTCTGCTTCCCACGTCACAACCACATTCCATTCCTGGCATTACGGCCAGTGACCTGTCAGATACACTGGGCAGGTGAGGCTGAGGGAAGACACACTGAGCAGATACCTAAACACAATGGGGAAATAAAAATGGGGCAAACTGGGAATGAGTTTTCCTTGCAGAAGAACTAGCAAATAGATCCTGAGGCAGGTTTGGTGGCTTAGAGAACCCATAAGGCAGAAGAAGGGGCAGTCATAAAAATGGGCAAAGTCAAATCAGAGAACAGGGGGTGAACTGTAGGCCAGTTTAAGGGACTGTTCTGAGTAAGGAGAGTCACCTTTGCTTTTTGTTTGTTAAAGATCACTTTGGCTGCCGTGTAGGTCACCTACATGAAAGGCTAGAGTATAGAAGTCAGGAGACCAAATAAATAGTTGAGGCAGGAGATGATGTTGGTTGGGCTTAGATGGTACTAAGGAGGGTGGCAAGAAGTGGTCAGGCGTGGTAACTCATTTAGAAGACAGAACTGATTGACTGATGCATTAGATGGCGTATAGAGAGCACTGAAATTTTTGGCTTGAACAACCGGGAGCGTGGCATCAGGAAAGCTAGTGGTTGAAGCAGGTTTGCAGTATGTCTGCTGAGTGGAAGGAACAAGAGTTCTGTTTGGAACACACCCTTTTTGGTATCATTTCAGACATGGAAGAAGTTCTTTTAACATTCTGGAGTTTGGGAAGAGATCAAGATAGAACCTCTTCTTCCTGCAGTACGCAGTCCATCAATGTATTTGTTGAATGAAATATTCAGCTGGCTGGCTTGTAGTTGCCACATTTTGTGGCTTGGTGCTCTTATTCATGTCATGCACTCTGCCTAGAACAGCCTCCTATGTCTGGTTCTTGCCTTTCAAAACAGATGGGGTATTCTCCGCTCCAAAAAGCTTTCATTGAATGCCAACCTAGCACCCCCCTCCCCTGCCCCGCCCCCTGGTGGTTTTTTTTGTTTTTTAAACTGTGGTTCTGACCACTTTACACTACAGATGCTTATTGGATTCTCTGTAACTCCAGGACCTAGCTCTGAGCCCAGAACAAAGTAAAAGTGTCACTGTGGAAAAACCTAAATAAACCCTCTGGCTTCACCTGCTCTTTACTAACTTAAAAATCACTGATTTGGGAGGCCACCCAGCTGGGAAACACATTAGTCTCCCAGTAGCTTTTCTGCAGACATCTCTGCCACGTGGGTTATGATGACGATGGTTGTCTAGGTTACATTTCAGACACAGAAAGCTGCTTTTGCTGAACGTACTGACTCTTGGGCAGTCGGTCAGATGTCTGCTGAGCGACTAGAAGGGTTAAAAAGGCTTGGCATTTGTGCCTTTGTACTGTCTGTCTCCTATGCTGCCTTATGCCTGAACCTTTGGGTCAGATTTCTCACGGAAAGACAAGGGGGAACTTTAACAGGCTGTCGCCTTAGTTCTGTTCCCTTTCTCATTCTCAGGAGATGGTCTTCACTTTGCATTCCTGTGATTGTGCTTGTTCTTCTGAGCCCAGCCCAGAGACCAGCCGTTGACCCCAAACTGGAATGAGCGGCCCTCAAGACAATCCCATCACGAGAGTGCTCTTCGGTGGGCGCCAGAACACCACACTGCCTCAAGCTCCTGAGAAACCGATTCCTGCTCATAGCCCCTAACCCAATCCTCCTAGAAAAAGTCCCCGCTTCTCCAAAGGGGGTCTGGGGACACTAGTCCGCCTCCTTTCCAGGTCGCTAGCATCCTCAGTAAAGCCTCGTGTGTTTCCCGACACTCGCATGGACTTTTCGGGGGAAGGGACTGCCAACCTGGGTTGGGCAGCCGAGGCTCCGGGAGGCCGGGTCCTGGGAGCGCGGCGGCGGCGTCCTGGTACCTGCTCCTCGCTGGCCCCCGAGCCTCAGCCGGGGGCGGAGGCGCGCTGGGGTGTCCGCGGGCCGTCCCGGGCTCCTCGCCGGCCGGAGGGTCAGCGCGAGCCAGGCGGCGGGGGGTCGGGCCGCGTCGGCTCCCCCGGGCCAGGTCCGCCCTGCGCGGCCCGGCGGCGGGGACAGGTCCCCCGTTCCTCCCGCCCCGGCCCCGGCCCCGGCCCCGGCCCCGGCCTCGGCCTCGGGCCGGCGCTGCGCGGTACTCACCGGTGGGGAGGGGCAGCTCAGCCCGCGCGGACTGGGCCTCGGGGCCGCCGGCTGGCTGCGGCTGGGCCATGGCTGCCTGTGGACCGCGCCCGCGCTCCCGGAAGTGCCGGCGACTCAGTTTCGTTTCCTCAAATCTGGGCGTCGTCGCAACCCCAGCCGCGGGGAAAATCCCAGCCACTAGAGACCAGCGGGCTGGGAGATGGGAGGGCTCAGTCCTCATTTGAATACTTAAAAAATCCGTCCCGCCCCTCCCCGCCGCGCTCGGGGCCAGGCCCCGCCGATCGCTCCCCCGGCGCTGCTCGGAAAATGCTCGCACCCCAGCGGCCCCTGCAGGCCCGGGCCCACGCGGGATTAAGCGACCTGGACCCAGTTGCTAGATGCAAGCCTTTATTTAGCACCCCTGGGGCACAGAGCACCGTACAGGACAAGGTTTCCAGTGCACGTAACAAATAGGCACGTAGAGCACACAGACACGTGGAACTGAATTATAGTGTTAAAAACGTAAGCTGTTCTGGAAAGGAAGCATTATAGTTGGTGGTCTGCTGAAGAACTAGTCCAAGGAAAGGTTCTGCACTTTGAGGAGGGAAAAATGCAACCTGGGGAAAGCAGAACATTAAACTGTGAGAAGGGGTATCTTGAGTATGCAAAGGCTCCAGCAGAGTGCTGGGCGGGGCGGGTGGGGGGACGGTGTGCCAGCGGACAAGCATTTCACCTCCAGCCGAGGGATGGAAGACTTCACCTTGCTAGGCCAAAAATAAGGCCCTGAACAGACTGACTAGGGATTTCCCAGCAAAACAGCTCAGGTGGGTCAGACAAAGCAGGGGAGGGCCCTTGCTCACACTCTTGAATATGAATAGACGACCAAGATCTCTAACTCCTTGACAAGCCTAATGTGACAGACCAAGACCAAGGCAAACCAAGACACAAAGCTGGGAGCACACAGAACATGCAAGAAAGGAAACATACATACCAATGTATGTATGTATATGTATGAACATGCATGTACAAGAACATATAAATATCTTCAAAAGAGAGAAGACATTTAATGTATCATCCCAAAATAGGATATTAAAGAATATTCAAAGAAGAAAAGAGCTCTTAGAAATTAGGGACCAGAAAAATAAAATGCAATAGGTGAATTTGAAGACCTAAGTTGAGGGAAGTACCCACAAAGCAGAAGGAAGACAACTAAAATCAAGAGAAAAGATAAGAAAATTAAAACAAACCAATTCTGGAGGTCTAACATTTGGAAAATAATAAGAATTCCAGAGAAGAGATGAGAAATCCTTACAGAAATTGTTCAAGAAAGTTTCTCTGTACCGAAGGACAAATTTTCAGATTGAACACTCTTACCAGACACTCAGTGCAAGGGATGAAACTGAACCTTTACTAAGGGTCAGGACACTGGGGTGAAGGTAAATCCTTTAAGCTTCAAAGAATTCTGTACATTGCCAAAATAGCAATCAAGTATAAAACTAAAATATTTTCAAACATGTAAAGTCTCAAACATTTCTCATTTTCCTTTTTAAAAGCTATCAGAAGATATATTTCACCAACAAGTAGGAGTAAACCAAGGAAAAGGGAAACTACCTTACTGATGAAAATGCTAGCTGTGAACCAGACTACGCTAAAGCCCATCAATATTTCTTGAGAAATTTCTCCAAAAGGATGAAATTGACAGAATACCTCAGGTTTCTGAATGTCAAATGGACTCCAAAGGCTCCAAGTAGACTGTAAGAAATACTGGCTGATCCACAATAGTCTCTTCTACACAAAAATACTGCCCTTACTGCTCAAGTTTCTTCACTTTATGTTAAATACACTACCTAAAATTCCTGCAGCTTTACTGCAAATAACTTGCCTCACCTGCCCTGCAGGCTGTTAGGTTATATTTTTCCTAGTCCTTTGGTTTCCCAATCTCTTAATTTCAAGTTAAATTTTCATGCAGTTCAGTTTTTAAACAATTGTTCCAAAATTAAAACAGATTTCTTTTTGAAAGGTAATTAAACTAAACCCTGAATCAAGTCCAAAATAAGTAAAGATTAAAAAAAGAAGAAAAACCCCTCAAAACCTGGAATTACTTCAAATTATTCCTTCTTAAACTAATATTCCCATCCTGGGAATTCCTAAGGGGGAAGTTCCTGGCAGCCAAATACCATTTTTTTTCTTTTAAGGGATAAAACTGGTTTAAGGAGCCTTCCAGCCCCCCTTCCAATAGATGATCATGGTGGGTAACCTACAGCAAAGTGGTAACTCTCCCTTTTCCTCTAGAAAAACAATTGAAAATCATGTCCAGGAGATACAAAGAGGTTGTTTCACATGCATGCAGAATTGTTTCATTTTCTTGCGTTTTTAAGTGAAATTTTTGCCTGGCACAGTTCTTCCAGCCTACAATAAGGCAAGTTGGAGCAGTTTCAGGATTTCCTTTTCTTACATCTTTACTATATTTAAAACAAAATATTAAAGCCCCTTCAGGTTTCTACTTCCTTTGTCCTATCTGTACTGTACCGGTAAAGGAAAACTGGAAAAGATTCATCTCAGAGAGTCTGTCAGGACCTTACTGAAGACCTCCCCCACCCCACTGGCTGATGTGGAACAGTGTTTCATGGGGCAGATGTAGCTTCTCCAACAACTGTTAATACTTGGGAGTGTTGGGGGTGTAGCTTAGTAATGAGTGCTTCCTAGGCATGCATGAGGCCCTGGTTTCAATCTTCAGCAAAACATGGAAGTAATATGCATAAAACTAATTCCCACATACTCTTCCTCAGGCTCTGCTGCACATCTTGGAGCTCATAATGGTGAATAATTTTCCAGGAAATTGTCAATTTTGTAGGTAAAGATGTGAAATTTGGTCCTTTTAAGCAACGATAATAATCACAAAAGCAACTTAGAAACAATTCTATTATGACTTTTGATTTTTCTTAATATGTAATTTACAAATAAGTTATAAATTGTACATACAAAATACACTTCCTCTCTATTCATGTAAAGTTGAACAGCAGTAAAAACAAGAGATACCTGATGCATATGAAAATGTCCTTATTTTGTTCCTGGTGTTTCTAAGATACAAACAAACTCAGAACTCCCCGAACAAGGGTGAACAGAGGAATTACCTTGGTGGACATCACCTTAAATTAATTCCACTAGTCACTGAAAAGCTAATTTAACAAACAGGTATTAACTACATATTTATAATATTTTTTTTCTACACTTATTAACTCCACATTGGCAGAAGATTTCCTTGTCGGGCGTAGTTCCAGCTTTATAACCATAATCCCATGTTAGTTCTGTTCTTGCTTTCACATATCTACAAAGTGGAAATTAAAAAGAATTATAAATCACCCTAAATAACTACCAAGTCAAACCTGAATATGCTAATTTTCATATTAACCATCCTAAAATTATGATCTATTATTGCTCTCTAACACCCACCAATTTGGAATGATCAGTATGAAGAACAATTAGTAAGTTTTACTTTATTTTTTTGTCTTTTCTTTTTTGGTGCTGGGATCAAACCCAGGGCCTCGCACATGCTAGGCAAGCGCTGTACCACTGATCTACATCCCAGCCCCAGTTTTACTTTAAATACACTAAAATCCTAAGAAAGAAGTAATATCTATGAGTAATAATGTTTTGAAAACATGAAGCCTGCGGTATGGAGGAGATGGGGGATAGTTCTGACTTAAAGAAGATATAGCACTCTTTGTCATTTATCCCTTGAACTAGACTGGGTGAGATCTGACACCTTCACACCTTTTAGAAATTAATTATAACTGTGAATAAAAATAGAAATTTCGAGTACTCAAAATATTGACTAGAAACAATTTAGGGAAAGTGGATATTCTAGGATACTAGTTATATGGAGCTATAGTACACATCTTTTTATATTTTTCAATAGTTACTTTTAAAATCATAATTGCAGAATTAAAGTGTATAAGCAAAATCAATTCCAAACCTGTTTGTGAAGAATGCCACCAATGGGAAATTCCTGTCATGTGTTTCTACAAAAACATTCTGTACCAAGAGATTTGGGCAACAACTATGCTGTTAAAAAAAATAAAACACAGGTAAGATACAGCATAAAGTTTCATAGCTTATACTTTAAATCATTAGAATATCATTCTGTTTCCAACACATTTCACTAATTTTGCTTTCTTTTTTTATGTTACTATATAAATACCATACATAGCTCATGAGAGTACCAGCAGGAGCCCATTCAGAAAAGCCCTGTTTGGACATTCTGATAGACTGCTGATAGAAATGCAAAACAGCATAAAAAGGGGAGGGGGAAATCTGTCAAAAGTTGTCATTATTACAAAATAATACTTATCAATTAATATTAAAAGCAAAATACAATACAGTGAGTATGTTATAAATTAAATATCAATGTTATTCATTATATTAGTATATAACACAATAGCATTGGTATTCTTTATTATTTTTTGTATTATTAGTAAAATAAATATTTGATTTAAAAATCCCATATTTAAAATTCTTTACTTATCCCAAAACACATATTCCTTGTAGAAAACTAAGACCAGTTAAGAAGCCAGAACTAACATCTGCTGACATTTTAAGTCCTTATTCTGCCAGTTCCCGCCCCCTCATGGCTGTGAATGTTCTTCACATTTTAAAACAGAATCATCATATACATATTTATAAACATATGAGATATTATACATACATGAAATGTACATATGCATAGTTCCTTTTGTACTTAATATATTGTCTTTCCATGGCATTAAGTATTTCTTTTTTTGTTTTTTGGTGGTACTGGGGTTATCAGGGCATTAAATATTCTATCCCAGCACATTTGATGACTAAAATTTTAAAAATCCCATATTTAAGGATGTATTCTATAGATTCATTTGCATATAAAGTTATTCAAGGAGCACTGGTTTTTAACCGTAAAAGTTTAGAAAGGACCTTAATGTCAGTCTATAGAGGACTGGTTAAAAAAACTTTGGTACCTTTACACAAGAAAATTCTATACAGTTTAAACAAAAATATATTGCTATAAAAAATCTCTAGGATAATATTGTTAAAACAAAATTAGACTAGGAAATATAACGTGCTATCTTTTACGTAAAAAATTGGGGCAAACAACACATATATTTACTTGTATTTGCAGAAAGAATTACTAGATTACACAAGAAAGTCATAAAAGTGATTGTCCATATACAGTGGAAGGGTGAATAGAGGCACAGTAACTTTCTCAAGGTAGGGCTTAAAATTTTTTTTTAATATGAATAACTTACACAAAACAAAACAAAAAATTTGGTTTTGTAGTTCTGGGGTTGAACTCAGGAAGTCTCAAGTTTGCCAAGCAGGCACTCTATCACTGGGCCACACCTCTAGCCCTTTTTATGTTGGCTATTTTTGAGACAGGGTCTTGCTTTATGCCTGGGACACCTGGACCGTGATCCTCCTATTTGTGCTTCCCATGTAGATGGGGATGACTACTGCACCCATCTATTGGTTGAGGTGGGGGTCTCTGGAACATTCTGCCTAGGCTGGCCTTGAATTAAGATCCTCCGGATCTCTACCTCCCAAGAAGCTAGGATTACAGGTTTGAGCTACTACGCCTGGTCACAAAACAATTTTTACATCCCACTAAAAAATAGGACCTTTGGAGAGGAAATATATGAACAATTGATTTCTCTGATGAACAGTCACTCTGTTGCCCTTCCAAGGCTTCTAATGTGATGATACTTTCTTGTCAAATTACTACCATTCCAGTATTGTTCACTTGCCCACTACCTGTCTTCTCAACACATTTATCTATCACAAGACTCAAATTGATCACATCTCTACACTATTCCTTAGACCTGTCTGCCTGTCATCATTTAAGTTTGATTATTACTACCTGGCCATACATTTTCTCCAACTTGAACAGATGAACTTCAAAACTTACTTTACTGACTGACTTATGTATGTATGTATGTATGTATGTGTTTATTTAATGGTACAGGGGATTGAACCCAGTGCCTCACAACTTCAGCCATACCCCCAGCCCTTTTATTCTTATTCTGTATTTTGTTTGTGAGATAGCAGCTGAAATTATAGTCATGTCCACCATCCCTGGCTTTTAAACCCTTTTCTTCCATACCATTTCTTACAGTTTTTAAAAGCAAATATTTCCTTATATGTTAGGCAGTTTTAAGCCCTTCATATGAATTCATTTGATCCTCATAACAGTCTATATTATCATGCACATTATTACAGAGCTAGGAAGCGAGGCATCAAGAGGTTAAGTAACACACCACAGACATTCAAGTGAAGAACTGAAACTGTGACCCAGATAGTCTGGCTTTAGAATATGTTAATCCTATCTTCTCCAAGATTTTTAAAAGAACCACAGGAAAAAAGTTGTTGAGAAATACAAATTCCAGTCTTTATACTCACATTAAGGAAACGGCCCACATTTCCTTCTTTTGTGGCATCCAATAAAAATATATTCCCTTTATTGAACTTCCTTAGAGAATCAGATGAAGTATTGTTGGTTTCACTTGTTAACTCCTCATCACAAAAGACCTGCTGGTTTTGACATGCTGGAGATTTCTCCTCTTGGGGCTTTTTTATTTGAATCTCAAAATCCTTTTTAATATTCTCATTATCCCATATGGTTGCTTGCTTACATCTGTCCCCTGGTGCAGTTTCTTCTCTATGTTTAGTTACATCTATCACATCTGATTCAACCAGCTGCTTGTCTTCAGAATCTTCAAAATGGTTTGAACTTGAGTCCTCTAGTAGACATTATCAGGAAGGAATTGTCAGGAAATATATTTGGCTGGCAATTGTGCTGACATTAACAATACTAACTAGATGGTCATTGCTTGAATTATCACTAATCTTTACAATGTGTTAAGATATGTATTATTTAATTTTACAAATGAAAAAAAAAACTTTAAGTCTTGAGGGGTAAACATTCACCTGTTTAATGAAAACTAGGGTAATAAACCCAAATATGTTTGGCTTTTAAAGTCAGCCTTCTCTCCACTATATAGTAATGCCTTTTAATGAATCTACATGTTGCTTCCTCATTACCATATTTAATCTCTCATCCTAACAAACTGACTTTCATCTCTTTAATTCTGGAATTTGCAGTTAAGTATATTGTAAACAGATGTAAGGCATGTGTCTGGGGATTAGGAGGCACTCTAGCATTTATGATGTCAATTGAGAGGCCAGAAAAGACCCTGTCAGAGTCACCCTCCATAAAAGTTCAAAAGCAGTAATTGTATTGCTAGGGGTTTATACATATTAATGTTTGATGCTTTTGCTAGATGACAATTCAATAGTTATACTTTAATAAACATAATACTTTAAAAGGAGACGGACTATTTTTTGTCAAGTAACGGAAATAAGCATGTCAGAGAGAATAAGTCACCTATTAAAACAAAATAAAATGCCACTTGTGTCAACTTAGGGGGACAAAGAAATAGTCCTTCAGTTAAAAAGTTGATTTCCTAGAAGGTGGGAGCTGGAGAGTGGTTAACCAGAGCCTGGAAAGAATGTGAAGGAGAGAGGGATGGAACAAAGATAATTAACAAGTGCATGTTTGCAGCTGGAGAGGAAGTACAACTTCCAATGTTTTATAGCACAGTATGATAATTATGGTTGACAATAATTAGTTTTATATTTCAAAATAGCTGGTAGAGGGTATTGTAAATATTCCAAAAACAAAGAAATGATGCATTTTTTGAGGTGACAGATATACAGTTTACCCTGATCTGATTATTACACACTGTATACATGGACTGAATGTCATATTGTAACCCATAAATACATAAACTACTATGCATTAACTGAAATTTTAAAAATAGGCAGGTAAGGGTAAGGCGGTAGATTAGAAGACTCCACTGTTTTGACTCAGTGAATAAGTCAGGTAACAAAAGAGAAACTATATTCTGAAGAAAGAGAAGAAGAGCTTCAGGAATTATGAAAGATTTCTGCAGAATGGCAGAAAAGCACACAGAAATAGAGAAAAGCAGCCAACAGTTCTAACCCTGTCCCTGGCTTCCTGGGATGAGGAAGGGAAGCTGAAGATACCATCCAAAGCAAAACAGATGGCCTTGGCGACAGACTGGCAATTCTAGCTCTAAGATAAGCCCACAGAGGTGTGGCTTATAGGAGTATAAGCCTTAAATCTAGTGCAGGAATTTGTGAGTCAGTGAATGCTCTGGTGTGGAAGGCTAGTTTCAACCAAGAAAGATATTCTATTGCTCTCTTATCTCAGAGAGGATAGAAAGGGTGCCATCTTGAGACATAGCCTATTGTTTGAGACTGAGATATTCTAGGCTCGAAAACAAGGAACACTCATGGCTCTGGGAGTGTGGGTGGGAGAGGTTCAAGAAAGGTGACTGAAGAGAAGGAGAGGGTCTGATATGTTCCAGAACAGAACTTTAAGCAGCAGGGAACAGGGATGGCCAGGAGCATGTCCTACTCACTGCTTGAGACTCAGGTGGAAACAAAGAACCAAGCATGTGGCTGACTTAGTATTTCACCTGCAGGGGCCTGCCTCTGGCTGTGTGTGTTGACTGCTGGGTAAGTGAGAGCCCTGCATTCAGATCCTCTGAATCACCTGATAGTCACAGCATCTGTCCCTCACCCCACCTCCATGCTCCACAGGGAGGTAAACTGCTGGGCAGAATCTGTAAACACTGAGACCAGTAGGCAGAGCAACTAGGTCCTCACAATTCTCCCCTCACCAGTGCAGAGCCCAGTACTCAGTTTGCTCCCCCCAATCTCTGATGCATTTGGAGGTCACCCTAAGGCTTGGTCACTTGCTACCCCTAGGACAGAAACCTGAGGAGCAAGTAGAAATCTGCCCAGCCCATAGGCTGTAAAGCTCCTTGCAAGGAACATTAGCTTTCAGTACACAAAGAAACTTCTAGAGTGAAATCAGCCCAGAAGTGTACAACTGACCTTTCTATAAGAGACTCCAGCTCATTTACCTCAGTCTGAGCAGGGCTAGGGATCAGGCCTAGCGCTGAGCACATGGTGTGAGAATCAAGTAAATGGGGTCTTTTCTGTCAAAGAGCTAGCTCAGTCGGTACAGCATGAGACTCTTAATCTCAGGGTCGTGGGTCTGACCCCCTTTCCCCTTCTCCCCTGCCGAGTACCACACTATGGAAAATGTGTGTCATTGTGTGGATATTACCTAATTTCCTCAGTTGTCTATATGCGCAGTGGCACATCACCTACCTGTAAAGTTTCTGCCTTTAAGCAGAGACTTGTTTGTCATCAGATGTCCTAAAACTTAAACTGCTAATTTTAAGATAACATTGTCCAAAGAAATCTCTGCTTCAAGGTCCCCTTTGCCCATGGGTTAATTACATACTTGGTGCTGCTATTTCAGGTCAAACAGTCATTTCAGGCCTCAGTTTCCCCAGAATCCTAGAATTCCCATTTTATGGGTCACTTCTTTGAGTACACCAACCAAATTGTTTCATGTGCATCTTCTCCAATCACGTTTGCTCTTCCCTTATGCCCTCCCCTAAACCTCAACCTTAGTTAATCACATAGACTGTGAACCTAAGCATAGCGTGGAAGAAATCTCAAACAATGAACTCAAAAGAACAATAATAAGAATGATCAATGAAATTAAAGAGAACTCTGAGTATCTCAATGAATTCAAAGAGGATACAAATAAATAGCTGAATGAAATAAAGAATGCAGAATATGACAGGAATTCAATAAATACACAGAAAAATCAAACTGAAATACTGCAACTGAAAAGCTCAATAACACAAATAAAAAATTCGTTGAAAGTCTTGCTAATAGAATGGAACAGAGGTTGAAAAATAGAGTATCAGGGATTGAAGATAAAGTAGAGGAGTTAGATCAACTGGACAAAGTGAAAGAAAAAATACTAGGAAAATACGAACAGAACATGCAAGACCTGTGGGACACCATCGAAAGACCAAACCTACAAATCACAGGTACAGAGAAGAAGGAGAAGAGTACAAGCTAAAGGTACAGAAAATATATTCAATAAAAGTAATAGCAGAAAATTACCCAAGTCTTGAGAAGGTCATCAGGTATGGAAGGCTTTCAGAAGACTAAACAGTTAAGTCCAGGGGGAAAAAAAAATATACACCTAGGGATATACAGTTAAAAGATAAATATGGAAAAGAAAGAACATTGAAAACTAACTGTAAGAGACATTGAAGCAGCCTAGGTTAGGGAAATTCTGGGACTGCTCCCCCTCTTTGATCAAGGGCTCCTCCCCCTAGTCCACAGGTGAGAGGAGCCAGGTGACAACATAATGTCTCTCCACCTCCCAGTTCAAAGTGGTATAAAAACATACCAAGAGACCCCAACCCCTTCTTCTTCCCTTTCCTCACCTAGCAGAATGGGTGATTCCCCTTTCCTCAATAAAGCTATTCTACCTCACCCCATCTGCCTGTTCTGCTTGGATTCTGCTATTTGGAACACAAGGTCCAAGATCTTCTGAGAACACCGATTGCCAATTATAAAGGCAAACCCAACAGAATAACGGCAGATTTCTCAACAGAAATTCTAAAAGCAAAGAATGTATAGAATTATGTATTCGAAGCCTTAAAGAAAATAAATGTCAACTTAAATTACTATATCCAACGTTATCTTCATAACTGGAGGAAAAATAAAAACTTTTCATGATAAACAAAAGCTAAAGGAATTCATGACCACCAAGCCAGCACTGCAGCAGAAGATACTTAAAGAAATCCTACACATAGATGAGGAAGATAAAGGCAACCAGGAAAAAACTAATCCCACTAGACAAGATTAGCAAATGAGGATTAGGAAAGCAGCAAACATCAGATAGCCAACAAAATGACAGGAAATACAACATACCTTTTAATATTAAGACTGAATGTTAATGGTCTTAATTCTCCAATCAAAAGACACAGAATGGCAGCTGAATTAAAAAGCCAGACCTGACCATTTGTTGCCTACAAGAAATGCATATAGCACAAAGATTAGTTTAGGGTGAAAGGACAGAAAAAGGTTTTTCTAAGAAAATGGATCCAGAAAGCAGGCAAATACTCAGATCTGATAAAACAGACAAAAACCCAAAATTAGTCTGAAGAAACAAAGAAGGTCACTTCATATTAATAAAGGAAATGATCCATCAAGAGGAAATAACAGTTGTTTACATATATGAACCAAATGCTGGCACACCCAATCTCATTAAACAAACACTACTGGTAAAAGCATAGATAAGCCCAAACACAGTAATAGTAAAAGACTTCAATAACCCATTCACATCAATATAAGTCATCCTGACTATAAAAAAAATGGCAAAGAAACTTCAGAATGAATAGACCAAATGGACTTAGTAGACATCTACAAGATATTTCGTCCAGCAACTGCACAATACAAGATCTTCTCAGGATCCCACAGTCCAAAACAGATCATATTTAAAGACACTAAGCAAGTCTTAACAAATATAATTAAAAAGAAAGAAACAACCCTGAATTCTATCAGGCCACACAGAATAAAACTAGAAATCAACAATACAAGAAACTACAGACAATACTCAAATATATATGCAGACTAAACAAATCATTGTTTAATGACCAGAGAGCATTGAAGAAGTAAGGAGGGGAAATAAAAACATTCCCAGAATATGAGGAGAATGAAGACACAAATTATCAGAACCTATGAGACATGGCAAAGGCAATTTAAAGAAAGTATATAGCTCTGAGTGCTTACATGAAAAAAACCACAGAGATCTCAGATAGCCTCAAGCCAACCCCAAAATCAAAAGGAGGGAAGAAATAGTAAAGATTAGAAATCAATAAAACATAAATAAAAGAAAAGAATCAATGAAACAAAAAGTTGGTTCTTTGAAAAGATAAATAACTGATAAACCCTTACCCAAACTGACAAAAAGGAGAGAAAAAAACCCAAATTAGTAAAATTAGAGATGAAAAGGGGATATCACAACAAATACTAATGAAAGCAAGAGTTTCATTAGAAAATACTTTGAAAACTTATATCCTAATAAACTGGAAAATCCAAAAAAAAATGGATTAAATTTCTAGATGAATTTGATCTATCAAAATGAACCAAAAGGATATAAACCACTTAAACAGGCTTATACAAACAATGATGAGGTTGAAGCAGTAATAAAGAGTCTGCCAACAAAGAAGAAAAATTCTCCCAGAGCTTTAAAGAAGAACTAACAACATCAATGCTCCTTGAACTGTTCCATGAAATAGAAAGGGAAGAAATGCTACCAAATTCATTCTAATTTTTTTTCAGTACTTGGGGTTTGAATTCAGGGCCTACACCTTGAGCTACTCCACTAGCCCTTTTTTAGTGATGGGTTTTTTCAAGATAGTGTCTCTTGAACTATTTGCTCTGGCTTGCTTTGAACTGCAATCCTTCTGATCTCTGCCTCCTGAGTAGCTAGGAATACAGGCAAGAGCCACTGGCACCCGACACCAAATTCATTCTATGAAGCCAGTGTTACCCTGATACTAAAGCTGGACAAAGACACAACAACAAAAAAGAAATTATAGGTAATTATAGACACAAAAATCATCAATAAAATACTTGCAAACTAAATTCAACAGCACATTAAAAAGATCTTACACCATGATCAAGTTGGTTTCATTCCAGGGATACCAAGATGGTTTAACATTTGCAAATCAATACATGTAATACAGAATTAAGGACAAAAATCATATGATCATCTCAACAGAAGTAGAAAAAGCCTTTGATAAATACTTAGCAATGTGACAAGATATAAAATTAACATAAAAAACCAATAGCTTCTCAATATACCAACAATGAGAAAGAAATCAAGAAAACAGTGACATTCACAATAGCCTCAAAAGAAACCAAAACCAAAGCCTAGGAATAAACTTAACTAAGGAGGTAAAAGACTTCTACAATGAAAATTATAAAACACTGAAGAGGGCTGGGGCATTGCTAAAGTGGTAGAGTGCCTGCCTTGCAAACACAAGGCCCTAAATTCAAATCCCAGGACCGCCAAAAATAGTAACAACAACAAAACCTTGAAGAAAGAAATCAAAGACACCAGAAGATGGAAACACTCTGTGGATTAGCAGAATTAATATTGTGTAAATGGCTATACTATTGAAAGCAATCTAGTTTCAGTATAATTCCCATCAAAATCCCAATGTCATTCTTCACAGAAATAGAAAAAAAAAAATCTTAAAATTCAAATGGAAACCCAAAACAACCCAAATAGCAAGCGTAATCCTAAGCAAAAAAAGCAACAGTGGAGGTTTCACAATACCAGTCTTCAAATTACACTACAGAACCATAGAAACAAAAACAGAATGGTACTGACTCAAAAGCAAGAGACAAAGACCAATGTAACAAAACAGAAGATCCCAAAATAAACCCATTCAGTTATAGCCATCTGATTTTTGACAAAGTAGCCAAAATCATACATTGGAGAAAAGACAGCCTCTTCAAAAAATGGTTCAGAAAACTGGTTGTCTACATGTAGAACATTGAAACTAGAACTCTGTACAGAAATCAGTTTAAAGTGGATCAATCTTAACACAGGATCTGAAACTTTAAAACTACTATAGGAAAACACAGGGGAAACAATATAGGTATAGGCAGTTATTTTCTGAAAAGGACTCTATTTGTCCAAGAAATAAGAGCAGGAATTTATAAATGGGATTGTGTCAAATTCAAAAATTTCTGCACATCAAAGGAAACAATTATCAGAATCAATAAACAGCCCACAGAATTGGAGGAAAATCTTTGCCAGCTATTCAACAGATAAAGGATTACCATCCAAAATATATAAACAACTTAAAAAAATTAAACATCAAAAGAAAAAAATCCAACTAAGAAATGGGCAAATGAATTGAACAGGCAGTCCTCAGACGATCAAATGACAAGCAAATGCATGAATAAATGTTCATCATCCTTAGCCATAAGGAAATGTAAGTCAAAACTATACTGAAATCCCATCTCTCCCCAGCCAGAATGGCCATCACCAAGAAAACAAGTAACAAATGCCGGTAAGGATGGGGTGCAGAAGGGAATGAACTCTCATACACTCTTGATGGGAATATAAACAAGTACAACCACTATGGAAATCAGTACAGAGGTTCATCAAAAATCTAAAACTAGACCTACTTATGACTCTGCTATACCATTCTTGAGCATATATCTGAAGCAGTGTAAATCATCATAGAAGAGAGATACCTGCAGAGCCATGTTTCTTGCAGCACTATTCACAATAGCTAAGTTGTGGAATCAGCCTAGGTGCCCAACCACCAATGAATGGATAAAGCAAATGTGGTATACATATACAATTAAGTAATACTCAGCCAAAAGAAGAATGAAATTATATTGTTTGCAGGAAAATGGATGAAACTAGAAGTCATCATGTTGAACGAGATAAGCTACACTCAAAAAGTCATATATTCCATGTTTTCACTCATATTTGGAATCTAGGCCTAAAATGATGATGATGGACATGAGTGTAAAAGAGGGACTCTGGAAGGGGATCGCTGGGAAGAGGGTGGGGAAAAAAGTTAATGGGGTGTGTGTGAGACAAGCCTGTCCATATATAAGAAGATAGCATAATGAAACTCACCAAATACTGTTTGAAAAAGCCAGGAAGGAGGCAGGAGGGAGATTAAGGGAACATAATAGAGGGGTTAAACTTGTTTAAAGTACACTGTTGTATCTATGGAATCACAGTGAAACCTCCTTGTTACTAACTTAAAAAAAGGCAAACTATGAATACAACTTCTCAATAAATTATGTTCACATAAAGTAAACTAAGTATTTTTTAAAAAATACATACACCTTGAAAATAAAGCTGATTTGGTCATTAGTGTTGTGGCCAATTTCCCTACAGTACTCATATTTTAATCAAGGACTACTTGTAAGCCACAGTAGTTATAGAATTTTGGTATCTGGACCACCTGCTACTGTAGCAGTCAATGAAAACAGCAGAAGAACCAAAAGCAATAGTGCTCATTATGGTTCATATACATTAAAATGAAATTAAAAATAATATATACAATGCCCTTTCTTGATAGAACATTTTTACTGAAGTTGCCATTCCTCCCTCAACCTCTATCCTTTAGTAGATGTGGAGTTCAGGTTGCAGACATAAGGAGGCCCAAACCATAGATCACACCTATGAGCCATGTAAATTCAGAGCTGTTCACCCCACCCCTCCTACAATGCATCTGATCACTGTTGACATCTGAACCAGAGGTCAGCAAACTTATTCTCTAAAAATATTTCAGGCTTTGCCAGCATATTCAACTCTGCTGGTGAACTGCAAAAGTAGAAATATAAATGAATGACTGTGGCTGTGTTTCAATAAAACTTTATTTATGACACTAAAATGGCTATTTCATATTTCTGAAATATTTTCATATTTCTGGTATTTTTTATCTACGTAAAAAAATCATTCTTTCATGGACATACTTAACAGGTGGTGGGCCAGATTTGTTGGGTAACAAATCAGTTTGCTAATCTCTGATATAAAAAGTTGTAACTTTTGTGACAAATGAAGCTTGTTTGTTATGAGATCTGAAAAAAATGAGCCATAGGTATTGAGCAAGAGTGAGACAAAGAGAGGAGACAGGTAATAACAAAGTGACTTTACAGAGCTTACCTTGTGCTCTCTTGGCTTTAGAGTTCGTATGTTCTTGAGCTGCTTTACACCCATCATTATCTTCAGAGATGATAGACTCTGAGGAAACAAATCCCTTAAAAGAAAATAAGAACAATATTGTCTTCTGTAGATCTATTTAGTAGCTAGGCTTATTTTACCAAAATATCAATCTTTATAGACTATATGTATTGGATTAGTTTGAAAGCCTCAAAGCTGACCTTAGCCCCATCTAGACTAATGGAGCCAACATGAGTCATCCTTTTTGACCATGCTCCACTTCTAGGCACTTTATTAAGCCACAGGCTACAAAAACTGTGAAAACATTAAAATTCAATATATCTCTCAGTACCTGTCAATTCTCATTATCTTTAATAATGAGAAAGTATTGACAAGAGATTTTAAACTTGGCTTTAGCTGTAAGTTGTGCAAAGATTAAACAATAAAAAGCAGTATTTGGCTAGTTTCTACTTCAAAGAAAAAGTTGAAGAAGTTGCCGGTCTTTAGCACTGTAGATGCTGAAGTCACTGTAAATGGTAATGCTAACTCTGAAGAAAGAGTTATGCTCACACCCAATTAATTGCTCAGTAAATGTTGACAATTCTTCAAATTTCAGTATTTGAATCATCAGCAGTTATTTAACATTTAGTTGAGTGTCAAGCATTGTGCTGAGCAAAGTTTCTGGTATTTGCTTCATTTTATTACCATAACTCTGGGATACATAAAATTATCCTCATTTTACAGATAAAAGAAATGTATGTAGGATATATCACCCAGCTAGTGAGCAATGGAACTGGAGGCTAAACCCAGGTCAATGACACCCACTGGTCCAGTCTATTCATAATTAAATGATGTTGAAGAGGTATCTACTATACTGTTATTAAACAAAGAGCAAATATTTGCATAAAATGTAGATTAGCAGAGTTTTTGCTTTCCATCAAAAAGCCCTATTGTAAGGTACCATTGTGTCTGCCTCTGTTCTTCCTATTTCTTTTTCTGCTCCCAAGTTTCAGTGTCTGACCAGCCCTATCAACTCAGTCTGCAAAGTGTACCCTCTGAAGCTACCATCTAAAATATTGCTTTCAGGATGATTCTTCTGTAGTTGTATCTCTTCTTTCTCCTATATCTCAAAACTTTCTCAACGTAAACTGCTCTATCATTTTTCTTGTATCACTGTTAATACAAACACTTTCGCTTTTCCTACAAATTCTCAGGCCCAGATAGCTCTAATTACAGTGACCACATGTCAGCTCATGACTAATGCTCTCCTCATACGACGAAGTTGGAAACATACTAACTGCCATGAATCATGGTTAGTAAATAAACCATGTCTGAAGATCTCGAAAGCCTATTTATTTCAAAACAGTAAAAGAAATCTTACACACTATTAAGTAACATAAACATTTTGAACCCATAAAGGTCTCATCTTTTTTGTCTTTTTTAAAGACAGAGTCTGGCTATTTAGCTCAGGCTGGCCTTGAACCTGCACTCTCCTTCTACCTCCTGAGTGCTCAGACTACAAATATGTGCCACCATGCCTGGCTTCCCCAGCTACTTTTTGAAGTTTTTACCATCTTTTTCCCATTGTGTTGAAAAATGGCTGTCTTGGATTTAGGACTTCTAATAACTGAATGATATTGAGTTCTTGAAATATTGTTATAGTTCATTTCCCTGAAAAGGAAAAAAAAAGTTATTACATACATCATTAAAGTTCTCTTTATTGGACATTGAAATACAGATAATACCACTATTTCATAAATATTCATTATTGTTAAAAATTAATCTAAGTAAGAACGTATGCCAATCTCTCACTGGAGGAAGAAAATAATATTTTAAAGTCAATAGTTTTTGAAGTATGTTTAAAAAAAAAAAAAGAGAACCTATGAAAGCTTTCCAAATAGAATGGTGATATTAAATAAAAAGTGAAACTTACAACAACCATAAAGAACCTGATTAAAGTCATCCAAAGTAAGCTCCAGACATGGAACACCAGCAAAAGTATGTTTTTGAATTAAGTATCCTGGATTTCTCAAAGTGCTAAATTTACAACTTTGATGTATGATGATATATAGGAGTGTACATGTGGGGGTGGGGAGAGAGTAACAAAGGAAGACAGGAAGGAGAAAGAACACTTGGAATCCATAATAACTTAGATTAACTTTGATCTTGTGCTCTTACTTACATAACAGTCTCTTTTGAGTCATCATTACACTTAGGTGGACACTCCTCAGTTTTAGCACTTCTAGGATGTGTTTCTGGTTCTAATGGGATGACTTCAATCTCACAATCTGAACATGAAACTTCTATTTTCCTCTTTTTTGAAAATATATTTTTCATAATATTCTCTTCTTTTCTACTTTCATCAATAGCACTAGGTTTCTCAGGGTTATTTCTGCTTAGTAATCTTCCTAAAAGAAAAATGTAAGAGTAAGATTTCAAACAAAACAGAAGTATTAACAACAAGTAGACATCTCTATTTCTGCTCTATGACCAAAGGGCTCTTTGCTATGTGTACCTTATTTCTACAATAAAGATAAACATATTAATTCATCCAAGAAAACTGCTACAAGATACTTAAAAACAAAACAAAACAAAACAAAACTACTAAGGAGGGATTTCTTATCTTTCATCCTTTAAAACTACAGGGTATATGAAAGACGCATTTGTCCATTTTGGAATAACATGAAAGAGAAAAGACTTAGCCACAGTAAAGTAAGACAAAAATACAAACCAGAAAGTATTCTAGACAATTGGAGATGAATTCTAGTCTTAAAACTGCAGCTTCCCTGCTTAGTTAAAAACAAAAACTTGTACCACTTGAAACTACTCTTTTAGAAAATGAGTTAGTTAAAACTGGTGACATGTGCCTATTGTTCTGGTCATATTATATCCTTCAAAACATTAAAATCTTACTCTAGGTTATATGCATTTTCTTCATTAAAATCTTAGTCTACACTTTATGCTTTTTTTTAAGGAACTCAAAATAACAGTAACTAGGTTAGAATTAGTGGCTAGATATTCTTACTCATCTTTATTAGAGCAGAGAGAACCTTAAGTATGTTTTCTAGCAATGCAGATATAGCCAATGATACTTCCTGGACACTATTTGGCATTTTACATGCAGTTTCAATCCAAGAATTACTTTGAGAAACAAGAGAGACGAATGTCTATGCAGACTGTGTAGGACTGTAAGTGATGTGTGGCAGAAATCTAAGTGTGAGTACTTTGAATTCTGATTAACTCTGTGAGCTTCTTCTTGCCTTCTTGAAATGCACTAGGAATTTCAGAGGGACAACTTTTGACTCCTGTTCCTTCTGATCAGCTATCAAGACTAAGTCCACAACACGTCCCTTAGACTGTCTTTAAAATTGTGCTTCTCAACCTTTCCCACTTCATGGTGCATTCAGACAATGCGGCACTTTTTGTTTTGCCTGACATGCTGAGGTAAACAGATAATATGACTAGAGACAGACGTGTCTAGCTTGAGAGGCATGTCCTGAAATAACCAGTAAGTGTACAATTGTAGCACACCGATAGGGAAATTTTGCTCTAGAGTATGGACAACTCTGTGGAGTCCCTGAAATGAACTGTCTGAATCACTACATGGAGCTATATCTTTGAAAATTAACCTGCTAAATTCTAACAATAGTTCAAAACATTAGTCTTTGATTGATAATCTTTACCTCAGCAAGTCAGTTATTTTGTTAATTCTTTCTTTTTTCTTTTCTTCTTCTTTTTAGCAACACTGGGGTGTGAACTCAGAACCTCACACTTGCTAGGCAGGTACTCTACAACTTGAGCCCTGTCCTTAGCCCATGTTTGCTTAATTATTTTTTAGATAGGGTCTTTTCCTTCCCTCCCACCAACTCTCAGAGCCAACCTTGGAACCTGATCCTGTTTCCTATGCCTCCCACACAGCTGAGATTATAGCTGAGATTACAGTCTTGGACCACCACAGCTGCTTACATGTTGAGATGAAGTCTCACTACCTTTTTGCCCATGCTGGCCTCAACAAGGATATTTCAAATCTCTGCCTCCCAAGTAGCTGGATTGGAGGCATGAGTCACCATGCTTGGCCATACTTTTCTTACTTAAAAAGGCTTTTTTTTCTGTTACCCCAAAGCATCTGTAGATAGATGTGCCTTATATGCAACAGGCCCTCAGGCAATACCCCGCATTTTTCCTCTAAGCCTTTCCTTTCTGAAACACCTGGTACCTCCTATGGGACCTCATCCCTTCAGTGCTCAAGTTCCAGTCTCTCCTCTGATGTTCCTCTGAGATACTGTTGCTCTTGAATCTAACTAGGAAATATGCATGTATTTTTTCTAACTAGGAAAATGCATATTCAGAAATTAAGATCCTACTAGAAAATAAACCTTTGCTTTACCTGAATAAATGCAAATAAATGTCCCTTTGTCAATGTCATCTAGGCAACGTACTCCCCATCCTTTCTTCTCAGTTTTGAACACCTGCAGCCTCACTTGAGGACCATGTTGGACAACTCTGTTTTGACAAAATTGTCTATTACATTTGCATAGCAGGTTGCATTCATAAATGCTGTAATAAAATACATAAAAGAGGAAATAAGACATCTCAAAGAAACCAAAAATGAATTTAAATTGCTACTTCACTGACAGTGACAATTAATGAGGGAAGCAAACTAAGTGTGACAATTTTTAAGGCTAGACTCCTAGGTTTACCACCTGCACTTTTTCAATTTTTAAAATGGGGATTTTATACAATAGCACTTAGGGCTATTTTGTGAACATAAGTAAGTCAATATTCACAAGATATCTGACACAATACCTAGTATGTAATAAATATCAGCTCTTTTAAAGTGGCTAAAATGCTTAAAGGAAATGTCTAGAAGGAAAAATTCTCTATTTCTGTTTTTAAAGGTGTTATTATCAACCTAGAAAGGATGAAAACTCACAATTCTCAGATGAGCTTTGCCTAGCATGTATTTTTTCTTTTCCTTCTTTTTGATTAATTTTATCACAGGGTCTTGCTATGTTGCCCAGGCTTATCTCAATCTCAAGATACTCCAGTCTCAGCTTCTCAAGTGCTGAGATTGCATGTCTGCACTACTATGACAGAGGGCTAGTAAACTTCTTAGTGGAAAAATGGCTGCTTAAAGTAAGCTGACTTTAGAGGGGTAAGAGACAGACTAGAAGCATTTAAATATACTCTGCAGGATATACATATTGTCTTTCACTTCCATTTCCAATTTCATATACATGACATTTTTGTACTATTATTCCTTAATAATTTAGATTTTCAGTATTGGAGACAGATTTCAATAACATCTATAAGACTGTAGATTACAATAAAAATGTACCCACCTTCACAGAAACAAATACCCTACAACAAATCTTCAAGGTATCTTACCCAGTAGGTATTTGCCTCTGTAGTCTTTTATATTTATATCCAGTAGTTATTGTACCACTTGACAAGGGACAAGTTTTGGCATTCCTTGAGGTCAGTTGAAGGCATGCACATTTTGCTCTAAAAGGTGGGCAATGGATGGAGAAGTTAGAACAAAAAGAACAAGTAACTTGGCAAACGTGTAGGTGATACAATAAATTATGTGACTGTATTTAGGACCCTCGTTTGGCTTATGGAACTTTGGGAGATTTCTTCCTTAAATAGAATGAGGCCCTCTCTGAAAAGCAACATCAGTGAAAGGTATACAAATAATTATAAATTGCACTGTGCTATGCCCATTAAATATTTAATTGTATGGGTTTTCTTTTTAACTTTTCCAAATGGATTCCATTCATTTCATACTCAGCAGAGCATATCTGTGAGTAGTCTGCTGGTTCTGCTCTTCTACAACAGATAAACTTGTGTGTCAAATCTGCAAAGGCATACTTTTGAAGATGCCCTAAGTTCTCTTACTCCAAGGACAGAATGGTTACAGAATGATGCTAGATGTGTGACTTCTAGAATCCTTGATTCATACTGTTGCCAGGCACTTAAACTATGAAACTGAATCTACGTATTTTCCCCTTTATTTAGATGATTATTTAGCATGACAGTGACTCCTGCCCTAGAGAGTGTAAAGAACCTTAATATCCCAGCTATGAATTAGATATGCAACTATTTCTTTGGATCTTAGTTTCCTTTGCTGAACAAGTGACTTTATGGTCTTTTCCTCTGTGCATCTCTTCTGTATTTTCTCTACACACATGATATATATCACAATGCTGGCCGCTGTTTGCAATAGAAAAAAATAACAACTTTATTAATTTGGATGAGTTCTTAGATGTAAAAATCTACACTTTCTTTTTTCCATGATTTTCTTTGCAAAGTTTAAAAAGTACAGAGAAAAATAATGTAACCAACACCTATATTCTTGGAATTAGTTGTCAGCATTTGCCTAGTCCATCTTTTTCTACGTATATAATTAAAAACATATATACCATACAGTAAAATATAGATTGAACTTAAAAAATTATAGATAAAACTAAACTTTCTAGAGATTTAAAGTGGTGGCCTTTATATTCCTATGTACACATAAATCTACAACAACATATTATAGTGTTTTCCATGTTTAAAAAAGTTTCCCATAAGTATTGTACTACAACTTGCACTTTTTAAATAATATTTTTGAGATTCATCCATCCATGTTATATATAAATCTGGTTAATTCCTTTAAGCCTTCCTACAGCATTTAGCTACTGTACACTTGGTTTACAATTAAGTTGCTTACAGTTTTTCATTCTAACACAGTTGCAATGAGCATATTCTTATATACATGTGTAAACATCTTGAAAATCAGAGCTTTCAAAGTTTTTGACTATGGCTCAGAGTAAGAAATATATTTTCTTCATGAGGTTGTCTAGACATATACACATATTTGTGTATATGTATAAAATAACAGTGGCATGAAACTTTCCTTTTGTCATGTGTGATACAATTGGGTATTTTCTAAAGTATTTAACTTTAAATATACTAGTTTTAACACTATGTGGTTACATCCCAGTAAGCTTGTAGTTTGGAATATAGTACTTAGATAAATCTAAAAATATTTTTGCTGTAAAATAGTTTTGTCTTCAGAGCTAGGGTTATGCTCAGAGGTACAGAACTTGCCTAGCATGTACCAGGCCCTGGGTTCCATATGCAACACCATAAAATATCTCCCCAAAGATAAAAAACCATGAGTTTATACACATCTTCAACTGCTGTATAACTAAAAAACAAAACAAAAACAAAAAAAAAATCCCCACTTCTCCCTTAAATAATTGGCTAGCTACAGAATTCTAGTTTTACATTTATTTCCTTCAGCACTTTAAACTAGTATGTCATTATTTTTGTCTTCTATTATTTCTGAAAAGAAGTGTGTTGTCAATCTGTTTTTTTTTTTTTGTAGGAAATATTTTCTAATTGACAGCTTTTGAGATTTTCAAAAGCATTTCAGAGTTTTTTTTGGCAGTACTGGAGTTTGAACTCAGGGTCTTGCACAACTACAGCCTACTTAGGGCTACCTCAGCCCTACCCTAGATATTTTAGAAGTCAAATCAAGACATATTCATCTTATTTCCTCTTCTTTGGACAGAGTAGGCTTTTTCAGGGTGAGGACACCTGTTACTCTTCAATTACGAAAAATTCTCAGTGATTATATCCTTGAATGTTACTAGTTTTGCATTCTGATTTGCTAATTCTTTCATCAGTTCCATGAATACTACTCTTTAGTCCGTGTATTTAGATTTCTTTCCCCAATAACCATAAATAAATTTCTGTATTTCCAAATGGTTCATTTTTATATTCTCCTTTTATTTTATGGGTGCAAATATTTCTTTGAAAAAAAATTTTTTTTTTTTTTGTGGTGGGGATCAAAGTTAGGCAAGCACTTTATCATATCTGCAGCCCTTTTTTGGACATTTTAATATTTTAAATTTTGGCATTACTGGCATTTGAATTCAGTGCCTTAACCACTTGAGTTACAGCCCAGCCCTTTTTGCTTATTCTTCAGACAATTCCCATACTTTTGCCTAGGGCCAGTCTTAGAGTGCGATCTTCCTACATCCACTGCCCAGCACAGCTGGGACTACAGATATATACTACCACGTCCAGTCTCATATCTATTTTAAACTCCCTTTAAATTAAATTCTACATTTGTCTTTGATTCCTCAGGTATGAATTCTCCCTATTAGTTGGGACTTATGCTGCCTTTGTGGTTCTAAACATTTTTGAGTGCTTAAATGTTTAACTGAAATCCTTTCTTTGAGGTTTACTCTTGTATGCTTTTCCGTGTTGTGTGCGGTTCTATTGCTTTAGCTTTGACTCTACAGATTTCATTAATACAATTGTTGGCCTTGTGAGAGATGAACCTAGTTTCCAGTCATGCACAGGCACAGGTATCTATTTCTATTCCTCTAGAGAGCACTGGGGTTATATTTAGAGGCAATGTTTACAAAATAAAATACTTATATTTAATCAGAAAAAATTTAAAGACAGTGAAGCACCTTCTCTATGACAGGCCTAGTGGAACTGAGCCAATTTCAGGTAATAGCTTTTCATACTATGTTTGTATGGCGAAAACTATTATCTAAACTACAACAGTCCTTCCTTCAGTGGTGGCATAGGTTCCCATGATCAAATGTGGTAAGATATTATTAAATGGAAAATTCCAGAAATAAACAATTTATAAGTTTTAAATTGCATGCTGTTCTTAGCTTGGTAAAACCTCACACTGTTCCCCCCAGGGTATGGACCATCATCATTCCTTTATCCACACTATGCACTACCCGCTCGTTAGTCACTGGGTAGCCCTATTAGTTATCAGATCAACTGATGTGTATTGCAATATCTGCATTCAAGTAAGCCTTACTTTACTTACTAATGCCCTCAAAGTACAAAAGTAATGTAAAGGATGTATCAGAGAATACAACATGGAAGAACAGATGAATTCTGGTATTATGTGGAAATGCTGCAGAATGGATGGGAAAGGCAAGAAACTCAAGGTTTCAGACATCCATTAAATTCTTGTTCTTTTGTCAAGTATAAGCAGCCAGATTTGCATTAAGTTTAATTTACATATAATACTTCATTTGATTATCTGCATAACTACTAATACATATGTATTATATACACTTAAAATCTTTTTCAAAGTATTATTAGAGCATGTTTTCATTCTTTTTTAATGGAATGTGAATACTGTGATTAAAGCATACTAAAACAAGCCTGGAATGGTGGCTCATACCTAATTTCAGCACTTGGGAGGCTAAGGCAAGACTGCAAGTGCTGGTTCTCTAGTTTGTTTGCTCCATGATGTCTCTAAATTGACTTCTCTGTGACTGTACTTCCTCATTTGTAGTAAGGACATAGCATTAACTACTTCATGGGTTTTCGTGATGATAAATAAAGAAAATGTATTTAAAGTACTTATAATAGTGTCTGGCACTGTTAAATAGCATTGTAACTGCTGTAATTATGATTATAAGGTAGTATATTAAAGAACATACTCAATGTTAATAGAAATAATTTCAAATTATTATATTTGACAAAGAATGTTCTTTGTCTTATCTTTCCATGTTAGACTTTTTGTGAACATGTTTTAGTCAGACATTGGTACACAGCAGGACTTCCTGACAAGTGTTTCTATATTCACATTTTTTGAAATGTCATGTTTTTCTACTCACATGTCTATGCAGCCCTCAGAACAGTCACATGAATCAGTAAACATGGTGGAAAAGTTACTTAGGTAACATGCTCGTGGCCACATAGTCTTTCTGTACTTAAACTGTGGAAGCTTTCTCCTGTCAATTTCATTGCAAAAAGAAATGGGCACTGATTCCACTCCATTACTAATATCCACACCAAAAATAACTTCTTCTTGCTTTGGGTAATTCCGAGTCAACTGAACATAGGTATTGAAAGAAAAGTTGTCTGTAAATAAAAAGTTACATTTTGTCTCAAGCAGGTAACGAAAGACTTCCTCCATGTTTCGTAGACTCCTTCCACAAGGAGTCTTATAACTCACATGGAGTGCAGAAGAATGAGAGTTTGTTTTTGCATGTCGTCTTTGGAAGTGATACTTGATTGGCAGCTGCAGAGGGTTTTCTCCCTTGAAGGTTGGTGGCATTTTCATCAGACAGGCATGAGAGCAGTCATGATGTTTATAAGATAAATTCAAAGATGATTCCTTTCTCCTAAAGTCTGTGACTTTATTTCCCAAAGAGAGAACATCCTTATTTTTTGTAGATCTGTTAAAATAAATTCTTTATTAGTATCTCAGATTTACAGTTCAATCTCGTATTTTAAAAGACACTACACATTAAGGTGGCAATTAGTCACTATTATCTTAGACAATGCAAAATCAGCCAGACTCTGAAATAAACATTTTAGTATGTTCTGTAGTCATTTAAAGATTAGACATGATTTGAGGATACTCCAGAGAGCTATAATGATAGCTGTAATTTTCTACTAGGTTCCTGAGAACACATAGCAAATTTAGAACTTGCACTCAAAGAGCTGAGGAAAGTACGTCTTCAGGCATGTTTAGTTCAAGTTTTTTTGGCTGAAAATTAATTTGTCAAAAATCCTCTAAATTGTATCTAACAACTTGCACCAACTGATTGTTTTCCATAATAAATGATCCATCTGGAAATTACACTGACACATCTGATAATGATGGCAAACTGACAGAAGAAAATGGTATGGGTACTGATTTTAAGGAAAAAAAAAATCTGTGAAAAAGTCTCATGTGTTTGGAACTCAGCTTTTGAACTTCCACAAAGAACTTGAGGTTTGGGGGGGGGTGAGGGTGAATGAAGGAGATTAAGGTGAGGGTATATGGTTGATGGACTACATATACCTATATAAAATAGAACAATGAAACCTCTTGCAATTGCTTTAAGAGGGGTGGGAAGGGAGTTGAGGGGGAGAGAGGATGGGAGTGAAGTAACTAATGTACAGTATAAGTCTAATCAAAATTGTCACTATTAATTCCCCCGTCTAACAAATATATCCTAATACTCCTAATACAAAAAGTTATATAAAAAAAGAACTTGAATATAAAAAAAGGAACTTGAGTTTTGCTTTACTTTCTATTTTTAAGTGTCTATTATGTATTACAATATGGGTATTTTAGATATTTTTTTAAAAATATTCATTATATAAAGCAACCCTATCCAACAGAACTTTTTCCACTGAGGGAAACAGTCTAGGTCTGTTTGACAGTAGCTACATGTGGCTATGAAGCACTTTTAAATGTGATAGTGTGACCAAATAACTGAATTTTTAGTTATATTTAATTTTAATTAGTTCAAATTTAAGTAGCTGCATGTCAGCCAGGTATGATGGCACAAGCCTATAATTTTAACATGCAGGAGGGTGAGGCATGACGTTTGAGAGTTTGAGGCCGTTCTGGACATGGTGAGACCCCGCCTTTAAAAGGAAAAAAAAAAGGTCACAGGCAGCTAATGAATACCATATTGGATGTGCAGTATGTTCAACGTATTGATTTTTCTTGTTCTTTTCCCAGCAGTATAGTAATCCATGAATTCCACAATTTATTCAACTAGTCCCAATTTATTCAAATTGGGAAATGTTCCCAATTTGTCTCTATACTACTACTCAGATAAACATATTCATACATAAATCCTTGACCAAATAAATTCCTGATTACCTTAGGACACATTCTTTTAAGAGAAACTACTAGATCACCAAGAGTACGCATTAAAACAATTAATAAAACTCCCAAACATGGACATAAGCGGGTTCTTTTGTTGTTGTTTCATTTTTTTTTCTCATAGAGAGAGACTATCTTGGACCTCTATCAAGCTGTGAGAATTACAGAAGTCTTAGCAAATAAGGACTGTGTCCAAACCTCTGCACTAGAATATGACCAGACTCTGACATTGTTTCTAGCACACATAAGAACACATCCCTGCTATGTTCCATGCTTTCTCTTAAAATACCTTTCTGAAGGGATCAGAGATGTGGTTCAGTGGTACAGTACTTGCCTAGCATGCACAAGACCCTGGGTTTCATGCCCAGCACTCTCCACCCCTTCAAAAAACCAAAACTCTTTCTGAGAAAGCACAACACTACAGGAAAACTTACTGATTGTTCTAGCCAATACCCGATAAAGGACAGACACAATGCTGATCTCCCTTTTCCTTTCTTGTAAGGGTTAGTAAAAATAGTTTACAATTGTGAATTTTCAGTCTTTGTGGGAAGATGAAATCTTAACTTGGAAGACAATGACGTTCTGTTTTGGTGATGGGAATCAAACACGGCCTTGTGCAAGGTAGGCAAGTGTTCTACCACTGAGCTACATCTCTAGCCCAATAAAGGAGTTAACTGTCAGCTAACAGACAAGTTGCCCTAATCATTTACACTGACCAACCTTCTAAAATTCTCACTTGAGCTCCAAACTTCTCCCTTCTCTACTCTTTGACAGACCTTTTCAAAGCCCAGTCACCTCTGCATAAATAAGATTGGTGCTCAGCACTCTCCTGAATAAAATGTTTCACTGCTTTAACACCACTTTATCTTTGATACTTGTCACCAAGCTTCATTGACTAACAACACTTCTATGTAACTTATTCTATCTGTTCTCCCTCCTTCTTACCCCACCCTGAAACATATGCCCACTATCTTTCTGTAGTATTTCTAAACAAATTATAGACATCAAATCTTTTTATGAGAAATAATTCAGCACATATTTCTAGTGAAGTTAGAAATATACATATTTATAATCTCAATGACCCCCACCTTCACATTTCTCGAAATCTAAATAGGTCCCACATGTTGCATTCGATCCAAATGCCTATTCTCTCTTTAACCTTTTATCAGTGCACTTTCTCTTTTCATTTTATGACATTTACTTATTCCCAGGTTCTGGAATTTTGCTGATGCCTTCCTGGTAATCATGTTATTTAACTCATTACTCTATCCTCTGTATTCTAGTAAATTGGTAGTTCTAGAAGCTTAATTAGATTCAAGCTCAAAACTTTTCTGGGTAAGAGGGCAAGAGTAATTCACAGGTGCTGTTGTGAAGTTCCTATTGTTTAAAGCAGGAGGCACACAGGGCTGGTTGTCTCTAGGACTGATTGTGGGCTAGGTAGTTGTGCTAAGACTGATAAGGTAGGCTTAGGTAGTTTCAGTCAAATCCATCCATTTTAAAGTTGCTAAGAATGTTTCACTGATTAGTTCTGGTAGTCACTTATATCAGTGCTACTTGGGCATATGCATGCCAGTCATCAATAGCTACCAATTTGTGCTAATTGAAAAATGCAGTGTGCAGAAACTTTTACAGCAATTGGTACATTTTGTTGCAGTTTAGGAATAGTGTTCCTTCATAAACTGGAGGTTTAAAACAAAACACCTATTCTCAGTTTCTTTATGGGGGAGAGGGAATATAGGCTGCAAAAACCCCTAATCTTCTTATTCTATCATCCCTATTGAATTTTCTGGACTGCCATACATTTATAAAGAAGGAATTATCTTAACTCTTGGGTTACCCTAACATACAACAAATTTAGGAAAGGCAGGATGCTTGATTCGTTAGCTTTATTACTGGTATCCAAAATAACGAGCTACACCCCAAAAACTATCAAAGTGACTTGATTGTTACACTAATCTATGTTATTATGAATGAACGGATTTTATATTTTTATGTGTTTAAATCAATCATATTGATTACTCTTCTCTATGTTCTAATTGTGCCAAATTTGGCCAGTGAAAGCTCGTTTACGCTTGTTCCTATATCATTCTTAACACCACTAGTCTTTGATAGCTTTTGTGCTTTGTTATAATATGTCCCAGTTGGATTGGACTATGAGCACATGATAAAAGCGAGAGCATACAAGGAAGGGGTGAGGATAGGTAAGACACCTAAAAAACTAGCTAGCATTTGTTGCCCTCAACGCAGAGAAACTAAAGCAGATACCTTAAAGCAACTGAGGCCAATAGGAAAAGGGGAACAGGTACTAGAGAAAAGGTTAGATCAAAAAGAATTAACCTAGAAGGTAACACCCACGCACAGGAAATCAATGTGAGTCAATGCCCTGTATAGCTATCCTTATCTCAACAGCAAAATTAGAAATAAGGGCAAAATAGTTTCTGCTGGGTATTGGGGGGGAGAGGGAGGGGGCGGAGTGGGTGGTAAGGGAGGGGGTGGGGGCAGGGGGGAGAAATGAACCAAGCCTTGTATGCACATATGAATAATAAAAGAAAATGAAAAAAAAATAGGTCCCAGTTCAGGAATTTGACATTTTTTTAGGGAACTACGACGCCAGTTAATGAGGACACATAGAGACCAAAGTCATGGTGCTAGGAGTTACATATTTTAGTCAATACAGTCTCCCAAAAGCTTTCTAAAAAGGTTGGACTGACTTACACTCTCATGCACATGTATGAATATAAGTATAATTGAATATTGAAATTTTAATTTGATAGCTGAAAAAGTGTTTTATTTTTTAAATGTGCTTTTATCTAAATAATAGGATGCTAGAACGCAAGTTCACGTTTATTCATCTTTCCCTCCCTCGTTTGGTGAAATGCTTACTCATATCCACTTTTCTATTGAAGGTTTGGTCATTTGTTTGTCCACCGATCTATCAAAATTTTCATGAGTGCCTGCTACCTGCCAGGTATAAATGGAAATAATAAGAGTTCCATCATCTCAGGAGCTTATATTCTAAGTGAAGAGCTATTTACAATAAACTGTAAACAATATTATAAATAAGGCCATAATACATGCCATGGACACACACAGAAAAAGTCATCTAATCTGTATTATTTTTTTAGGCTTTCTAGTATTCTAATTCTACAGTTAGTTATTCTATGATTTCATGTGTAAATTTTTGTTGTTTGTTTCTTGAGGGAAGGTCTCACTCTGTAGTCCAGGCAGGCCCTAAATTCTCAATCCTTCTGTCTCAGTCTCCTTAATACTGGGCTTATAGGTGTGTACCAGTGTCCAGTTTTGGAAGTTACTTTGATGTACCATGAAGATCTAACTTAAAATTTCCAAATGATACTAACTTGTTGGAGTCATTTTTGAAATGAGTCCTTTACCTTGTGAACCTAACTTAAATCATATCCCATGTTCTTATAAATGCAGTATACATTAATACCCTTTCATTTTCTAGGCTTGTTCTACTTTTGCAGGTTGGACTATTAATTTTTGTACTAATACAACATTGTTTAATAAAGCTTGAAGGAAGGAGACTTCTGTTTTTCACACTGACTTCTCCCT